GTATCCCCCGCCCACACCACCACACCACCACCCCCACCCCACCACACACACACACACACCACACACACACACCACACACACACGCACACACACACACACATATCTCAACTCACCGTCCCACACAACCCTGTTCAGTATTCGCCGCCTCCGCCTCTCCACACCCACATGTCATCGTCGCAACCCGCGTTGGCGCCAAAACGCCACTGGCTCACCAGGGACAAGCTCCGGCCGCTCCTTGACAAGCTCTCGTCGGAACTTCCGTCGGTCCGGTCGGCTGCGCTCGACTCGCTAGTCTTCAAGCTACACCATGGGCTCGTCGTTCCTGCTCAGCTAGTTCATGAGGCCTCGCTCCCTCCGGCCCTCCTCTCCTGGTTCAACTTTGACAACGTGGTCCTCCCACGCAAGGCTCTCGAGCTCATGGCTACTCTCACAAACTCCCATCCCAAGGTCTTTGGCTTTGCCCTACTCCGCGCTGGTGCCGTTCCCTTTCTCAACGCTCTTCGACCCGATCTTCCGCCCTTTTGCATCCCTCAAGTCGACGCGCTCCGCGACGCCTTGCTCCACCTCGAACCACAGCTCCTCCTCGCCCCGCCGCCGCAGCCCGCCAGCCACCAGGCCAAACTCGAGAGCCTCCCGGGATCCAAGGCCTACGCCGAGTTAACGACGCTCCTCCGTCCCCGGGCTCGCCTCCCCGATGACGACGCGGGATTCGCCTCTTCTATGGATGACCTGCTCCGCACTCTCCCGCCGGCGGACGTCGACGCACTGCTTGCTGCCGGCGACGCGCTCTGTCGCGACGCGCCCGGCCCGCTCCTCGAAGCGCTTCACGACTTTGAGTCGCGCATCGTCTTTGACTACCCGCCGCTGGCAGTCCTCGCCGCTGGTACCCCGCTTCAGGGCCTCATCTCGCTGCTCATCAACACCGGCTCGCCCGACGTCGCCACGCATTACGACCTCGAGCTGCTAGCCCTCCGCTGCCTCACCGCCTGGCTCGACCGCACATCGGCTGCACTCTCCCTCGCTCGGGCCGCCCTCGACTACGCCCCGGCCGCCTCGGCACCAGGCCCGTCGCCGTTTGCGCCTCCAGTCCTCGGCCTTCTGCACAACACCCTCGCCCGCATCCTTACCCGGCTCGCCCCGCTGGCCGCCGCCTCGCGGCTCCATGCTCCGGTCTGTGCCGCCCTCGCGCCCGCACTTGCCCTCTACGCACGAGTCCTCGCCCTCCTCCCACGCCAGCAGCTCGCCGCCCTCGCCCGCCCGGCTGCCGCCTCGCTCGCTTCCGCCCTCGCCGCACACCTCGACTCGCCGCACACCTCACCGCTCCTTGTGCACATTACCGCCGACGTCATCGACGTCTGGCTCACCGCACACCTCGTTGCTGACGGCACATCACTCGATCCCGCGCTCGACGCGGCTCTCATCCAGCTCGTTCTCGACGCCGAGCTCCACCAAGCGCTCGACCCTGCCAAGACCACCTTTGCGTCATACCTCGTTGCCGTCAACGCACCGTCGGTCGAGGCTCTTCAGCTCCTGGACTCGGTCCGTTCCGCTCTTGAGGTTCTCGCCAGCCTTGCCACTGCACTCGCGGTCCCTGCCGCCTCGGCACCCTCGCTTGACGTTGTAGCCGCCGCTGCCGGGGCGGACATCGACTCGCTCGGAGCCACTCTTGCTCTTGCTCTCGGCCACGTGGGCACTGCTCGCTCTGGCTTTACTTCTGCCGCCGCTGCCGACGCGCTCCGCGCGTTTGCCCCGCTTCTGGCAGAGTCTGCCGCCGTCGCCATTGTCGTCGACCTCCTCGCCTGTGCCAGCGTTGCACCCGAGCCCATTACCGGCCTCCTCGCCGGCCTCACTGCTGCCGCAACCTCACCGCTTGCCTGCAGCCTCCTCTTTGCCCGCCCGGTTCTCCACCTGCTGCTTGTTCACTTGCTCGGCCTCCCCTCGCTCGCGCCGGCTGTTGCCGATCTCCTTGTCACCATGGTGACAGCCGTCCCGGCCGGCGAGCCTGAGCTTGACGTCCTCCTCGACTACGTGCCGTGGCTCCAGCTCCGGCTTGACAACCCGATGCTTTCATCAGCGCTGGCCGGCATCCTCAACCTCCTCTCGCAGGCCATGACCGACGAAGCCGCCCTCGCCGCCAAGGTCCGGCTTGTCTTCCACGCCGCGCCTTGGGCATCGGCTCAAGCCATCCGCGAGCTCCACGCCCACGTCTCGGAAGTCCCGCTTCCGCCTCCGTTCGAGCTCATTGACCCGGCAGCAACGTCCGCCCTCACCGCCGACCTCACGCCGGACCTGTTCATTCTTCCGGCGTCCGACGCCCGGCTCGCGCTCCGCGCGCACCGTCCGGTCTCGGACGCATCGGCTGAGCACGCTGCCAATCTCTTCCACATCTTTACCGGCGGCGATCATGCTGACTTTGAGCCGGCGGTTGTCGCCGCTGCCGGCGACGAGCTCCTCGCCATGATCACCGCTGCTCCTCTCCTTGTCAAGGTCCTCCTCGGCTCGGTGCCCGACCTGCCCGCCACCCTCGTTGCCCACCTGGAGTCTGCCCGTCCGGCGCGTGCCGCCATCCTCCTATGGATCCTGGCGTTTGCTCTTGGCTACGCCCCGGCCCATGGTGCCCGCCTCACAGCCGACGTTGACGCAGCATCGACGCTCCTCACCTGGCTGCTGGCTGCGGATCCTGCTCCACGTGCTGCCGCCGTCTACGTCTTTGGCGTCATGCTCTTTGACCCGGCTGTGCTCGCTGTCGGCCTCCCAGACGTCGCTGCTGTCGAAGACGTTGCCGATCTTGTCCCACCGTCGCCGTTTGTCCTTGCTGTCCCGCGCGTCCTCCACACCGGTTTCACCCTCCCGTTTGGAACTCACTCGTTTGACATGGTGCTCGCGCCGCATACCGCCGCCACGCATGCTCCGCCGCTCGCGCTCCGGCTTGTCACCGACGCGCTCGACGCCAAGACCTCCGCTGGCATGCCGGCGCCATCCACCCTCCATGCCTGGGATCTCACCCTTGTCTGGCGCGAGGCCTGGCGCGCTATTGCGCTCTCGCCGTCGTCGACAAATCCGGATCGCTTTGTCGACGCCGCCCGGACCCTCGCTGCCCATCTCCGCTGGCGGCCCGACGCCTGCGACGCGCTCGCAGAAGTGCCTTGGTCTGAAGCGCTTGGCATCTGGCTTGCCCCACTGCCGATCTCGGTCCCGACGCCATCGACCTGCCGGACATGGACGTTGTCGCTGCCGCCTTTGATCTTGCTTCTGCCGCTGTCGCCGTCGCGCCCAACTCGCAAGATGCGCTTGACTTTGCCAACGCTCTCCCACGCTGGTTGGTCCCGCTTTGGGCCTCGCCAGTCCACCAGGTCTCCGACGGGCTGGCGGCCTCCGAGTTGGCACCGGCTCAGCTGGCGGCGCTCCTTGCCGCTCGCGCAGTCTACTACTCGCTCAAGGCGCTTACTCTCCTCCTCGCCTCTCCGTCACACACTGAACGCTGGTCGCCGTCGACCTGGGAACAGCTAGCGTGCGGTGCCTTTGACACGTTTGTTGCGCCGGCGCTCCCGCACGCCACCCGAACCGCGCCTGCCATCCACCTGCACGGCCTGGTAGCGCGAACAGGGCTTTCCACCTTTGCCGCCATCCTCGCCGCCGCTCCGGGCAACCTTGGTCGTTCGCGCCACGCCGATGCGGGTACCCTCCTCTTTGCATGGGCTCGTCAGCTCCTTGCACCGGGTGCTCCAGCCTCCATCACGACCGTCGGTCTCAATGCCCCTGCCGCCTACTCAAAGCGACCGCTCCTCGCCGACCGCCTCGCAGTCATCGAGGCGCTTGCCCGTCGCGCCGCAGCCTGGGACGGCCCGCACCTGGCTGCCGGTCTCGACGACAAGACGCTGAGCCTTGTCGTCGCCTGCCTCGGCGGCCTCATGCACGACCAGGTGTCAGCCGTTCGCGCCACCGCGTGGCGGACCGTCGCCTGGATGGTGGCGGACACCAGTCGCGCCGCACCAGCGTTTGCCGCGGCCCATCCGCGCCTGCTCGTCGAGGCACTTGAGCTCGCCGCCGATCATCGCTCCCCGTACGGCGTTCGGGCCTCTGCATATGCCGCTGCCGCCGCCTTGCTCCTCGCCGCGCCTGACCAGGTCCCGTCTCGGGTCTGGGCCCCGGCGTTGGAGGCGCTTGCCGAGCTGCTTGCCGAGCCTACCGCCCCGCCGGCCTTTGTCCACGGTGCTGCCCGCATGATGGCGGCGCTGGTGTCGGTCGCCTCGCCCGATGACGCTGCCCACATCTCGGCCGTTGCGCTCCAGACCCGGCTCTGGTCACGTGTTTTGGACCTGGCGTCGGCTGCCTCGTTTGTGAGCCGATCGCAGGCGCTCCTGTCCGCGCTCGGCCTTGCCGGCGACGACTGTGCGGCGGCCGGTCCAGGCGCGGCGTGGAAGCACTTGCAGGCTGCTTCGAGCCCGCACGCTGCCTCGCTCGCTCTCTTTTGCACTGCACTGCATGGGCTCGCTGCCTCGGCGCGTGAGACCCGGTCATACTTGGTCGCAACGCTCCCGCTTGTTCCGACGCTGATTAGCTTGCTAGCCTCCCCGGGTCACCTGCATCTCGCGGGCAAGTCGGCCGAGTATGGTCCGTCGCTTGCAGCTTATGTTGGCGCCCATCCGGACGCTTTCACTCGCGGCCTTGCCGGGCTCGCTTCGGCGCAGCTGGTCGGTGCCTGTGGCCGGCTGTTGGCGTTTGCCTGGCAGGAGCTCCGGCCACCGGCGCGTGCAACCATCTGCGGTCGTGACGGGCGTGTGCTGGCCTTGGCCCTGGCGCTCGCAGCCGGGCCGGCGAGTGCCTCGCTAGACGCCCGGGTCGGCATCGCGCTGGCTGTCGCTGCGTGCCTCGGCTGCGACCAGCCTGGCTCTGCACTCTTGCGGCCCGTCCTGGACGAGATGGTGAGCCCGAGTGAGGTTGACGGGTTCTGGCTGCCTCACCAGCTCGAAGCCTCGGTCATTCCGGGCGCGCTCCTCGGCTCGCAATTGCTCGCGCTCTACCGTGAGCTGCACACCTCGGATGTTGTCTTTGCGTGGTCGGTCCCGCACTCGCTTCACGGACTGGCAGCGTTGGAGGCGGCGCGGGCGCACACAGCGTGCGCGCTGGCGGCGCTCTGGCTCGGCTCCGACTCGAGCGTCGAGCTGGCGGCGCTCGCCGGCGAGTTTATCTCGCTCCGCCGCGAGGCGTCAGAAGCCATGTCGCTGGTGACCAAGCTCGACTCGGAAACCGCACGCGCAGGCTCAGAGCTCGCTTCGCGGCCGGGCTTGACCTCGATGACCCGCAGCCTGGCGGTGGCACAGGTTCTCAACACGCTCGCACTGCTCAAGGCCGGTGTCCTTCGGGTGGCTGACGCCAAGGCGCAGGCCATCGAGGCAGGAGTCATCACGTTTGTCCACCGCGCGCTGGCGCGGATCACCTCGACCAAGTGGCCGACGGCGTGCGAGCATCGCACTACCCTTGTCCGGGCGTGCCTCGGCCTAGTTGCCAATCTCGCTGCCGACTCGCCGGCTTCACTGCGGGCGATCGCCGAGCACAGCGAGCTGCTCCGCGCGCTGACGGCGCGAGTCGAGTCGCCGCCGCGCGACGGGACGTATCCAGACGTGCTCGCGCTGCTCGGAGAGCTTGCCCGCGGCTCCGAGGTCCGCGCCCAGTTGCTCAAGACCAAGATCGACCACAGTCTTGCCGCAGTGGTCCTCCGTGGCGCCGATGGGGTCGAGCGGACCGAGAAGGTCGTCGACCGCGAGCTCGCTCCAGTCCTCAACTTTTGGATCTCGTTCACATCATGCGCCGGTGGTGCCGAGCGTGCCACCAAGGTCCGTGGCCTCTTTGGCGGCCTCCACCGCATCGCGCTCAGCGTGCCTCACTCGGAGGTCGGCCTAGCGGCGCTCAAGGTCGTCCGCAACATGGCACACTGCCGCGAGGCCAAGGTCCACTTTCTGGAGGCCGGGCGGCTGGCCGGGCTCACTCGCAAGCTCCTGGTGCTCCCGATGCAACCAACGCCCGAGGCCGATGCTGAGGCGGCCACACGGTGGGCGCTGGTCACCGACGCGCTCTGGGCGCTCGTCTACGCCTCGCAAAAAATCAAGGTCGCCCTCAACAAGATCGGCGTGGCCAAGACGCTCGAGCTCATTGAGGCGTATATGTGGCGGCGGTACGGGCCGTCGCTGGAGGAGGCCTCGCCCGAGCTGGCTGCCGAGAAGCGGCAGCGCATGACCGGCGTGGCGTGGTATGCCTCGATCGACGCCACCGCCGCCGAGCCGGTCGACGCTGCCGGGCTGGCGACGCTCGCCAAGGCTCTTGAGGCCTCGACCGTTGTCCGTGGCCTGCTCCACCAGCGCGTGATAAACTAGATGCCGCAGGGAACACAGTGTGTGGCAGACTTTGGTAGGTTGGGGGATGCTAGTCGAGGACAATGACCGGAGCGTCGGCGCGCGGCACAGCGCGCGGGCGTGGAGTAAAGAGCGATGACGCCGGCGCAAACGACGGCGCGTACGACGGTTCAGTCGGCGCGTACGACGGTTCAGTCGGCGCGTACGACGGTTCAGTCGGCGCGTACGACGGTTCAGTCGGCGCGTACGACGGTTCAGTCGGCGCGTACGACGGTTCAGTCGGCGCGTACGACGGTTCAGTCGGCGCGTACGACGGTTCAGTCGGCGCGTACGACGACGAGTTCGGCACGCACGGCTCGGGTGACGGCGAGCCAAAGAGGCCAGAGAGTGGATGTGTTCGCTTGGGCGGCGGCGCTACGACCGGGGCCGGGTCGTCGTCGAGGGTAAGGTCGACGGCTTCAAAGACGCGCTTGCGCTTGCGGGAGGCGCCAGTGGGGGTGGAGAGGGCCGACGCCGGAGTCGGAGTAGTGTCCGCCGGGGCGAGCGCGCTTGGGTTGCCCGTCGCGGCATGGGCGCCGGGCAGGTGCGGGGTTGACGACGCGTCTGTGGGCGCGGGGGAGGGGCCCGCGAGCTCGGCGGCCGCCGGAGCCGCAGACGGATTCGGCGCCGTGTACTCGATCTCGGGCGCGTGTGCGCCTTCGATAGAGCCGTCGGGGAGGATGACGACGCCCTCACAGTCCTCGTCGGCAAACTGCGGCGAGGTGACGAGCGAGAGAACAAAGAGGTCGACGACGACGTCCGAGGTGGAGAGCGGCTTCTTGCAGATGGGGCAGGGCGTGGATGAGCGGCCCTGGTGGGCCATGACCTGGAGGAGCGTGACGAGGTCGAAGAGCGACGAGACGTGGGTGCACTGCTTGCCGCATGCAGGGAGGCGCATGCGGGCAAAGGCGAGCGGACAGAGGAACGAGAGCTTGACCGAGAGGACCGGCAGCTCGGGAAGCTCAAAGTTGTTGCGAAGAAAGGTGGCCTTGGCGGCAGCGACCTGGGCGCCCGAGACCTCGATGGTGGTGTCGCACACGGCGAGCGACCGGGTGGGTCCGGCGAGCTGCGATGCGTCCCCCGCAGCCTTCAGTTGCTTGCGGAGGAGCGTGGTGCCGACAGCCTCGGGCTTGATGCGCGGTGCGTACGCAAAGGCGAGGATGATGATGTCGGGCAGGTACGACGACGAGCGGACGATGGAGATCTTGTTGCGACCCTCGATGAGGTGCTTGCCCAATTCGGGTGCCGGATGTGCGGCCGACGGCGTGATCGGCTTCTGGTTGACGTACACTGTAACTGCTGGCACTGCGTTTGGCGACCGCCGTGACTCGATGAGCAGCTTACACGAGATGTCAGGCGAGGAAAAGTTCCACAGCGGGAGCGAGGTCACGTTGAGCTCAAAGGCAAAGGTCCGTGTCCCAACAGGGAGCATGGCCTGGTACGGCGGGAGTACGTACCGCTCATGACGGTAGTCGAGGAACGGGTCGGATCCACGCCCGCGGAACTTGTATGATCTCAGCTCGTCGACTGTCAGCGTCTTCTGGCTGGCCGCTGGCTTGGGCCGCCTGCTGAGCGCCGACGCGACCGCCAAGGACATCCGCGCCCGCGCGTCAGCCGACGCGACCGCGCTGTTTGAGCTGGTGGTGTGTCTCGCTGCAGCACTAGGGCTCGATCTTGAAGGTGCTGGTGGTTGTCTCTGCCCCGGAGCCTGGGCCGGCTGTGTTGAAACGCCAAACGCGGAATCCGCCAGGGAGCACAGCGTTTCGCCGCGCTTGGTACGATGGTGGGTATGGCTCACGCCGTGGAGGAGTGCGGCCATTGCACTTGGCAGAACCGGAGCGTGCGAGGCGGACTTGAGCATGTCGTCCGCGCGGAACCAGTAGATCTCGACGTCACCCAAACGGTCGGAAGAGCTGACGATAGCTGAGAGCTTTGCCTCGTCAGACAACGGCGGAATGAGGAGCCAAGGCGAGCGCATCATGCAGTACCGGTCTTGCGACCGAATGAACGACGCTGTGATCTCGGGCAGCGCGCCCCAGAGGCCAGGCAAGCCGTCGCTCACCATCGGATCGACCCGCCCAGACGGCAGGCCGAGTGGAAGCTTGAGCTCCAAGAGGGGCGGCCGGAGATCCGCGAGGTATGTAAGCCACCTGGCGAACGCCACCAGCATCTTATCGGTCACGCCCGGCACCCCGCCGACAAAGATCGCCAGCAGTGACGCCTCGGCCGAACACCGCAGCGCGTGAGTCTTGAGCTGGGACACGCCTGGTGCTGCGTAGATGACATGGCGAAGCTTGGCCGCCGACAAGGATCGAATGACACACAGCTGTTGTCGAGATGCGTAGAAGATCGGTTGGAAAGCCAGCGAGATCAGGACCAGAACCGGGACCGGGACCGGGGGCGGGACCGGGAGCAGGACCACAGGGGAGCAGGACCAGGAAGGGCAGCACGACCAAGAGCAGGGCAAAGTGTAGGAGCAAGAGCAGGACAAAGAGCAACGACCACGATCACGACCAGAAACACAACCAAGAAGGCGACCACAGCACCCGACCATGACCATGACCATGACCATGACCGTGACCATGACCATGACCATGACCATGACCATGATCGTCACCATCACCGTCCCCAATGACCATCGAGCACGACAACGGCACACAAGTAGAGGAACGACCAATTCAAAGGTGACCACCACACACACCGCCAATGACGACATGCCCACCCATAGCCATACACATTCAGATACCCACAGCCAATGGATGAGTCAATGTCCATACCATGCACATTCCCATATATATGTCATGGGGGTAGGAAGGGGGGGGGGGGGGGAGGGGGCACACCGCCCGTCCCTCAGCAGGTCACCTTGGGGAGACCGCACCCGCACACACAGACAGACACGCACACTTGGAACCCCCATCCGTGGAATACTCAGAGAGCCTCAACCTTGAGGAGGGAATATGTACAGCGGAGTATGTTCTATAACATATCCGGAGAAGGTGTCGGTGGGTGGAGGAATGCGGGTGGTAGGGGTGCAGGACGATGTGGTTGGGGAGAGTGGGTGGGAGGGTGGCGGGGTCGGAGGGGAGGGCACACAGCAAAGGCAATGATCCCGGTATGGATGGCGATGAAGTCACGGGTCATAGTATCGGATGGAATCGATGTGAGGCATGGAAGAACATACCTGTTGATCAAGAGCTTTGATATTGGCGGCAAAGTGGGAGAGACTTGGTGTGGTTGATGTCATGGTCATGGCCGTGGCCAATGTGTGTGTGTGTGTGTGTGTGAGAGCCCCCGCGGGCAGAGTCAAGTTGTCAAACGCAACGTCACCGCCGGTCATCTCGACCACAAAGCGACAACCGCCGCAGGCATTAACTGGGTAGAGTTGGGCAGATGGTAGTGCGACTCGGCGATGTGGCGGAAAGCAGGACGCAGGACGCAGGGATGGTGATGCTTGGGAGTGGATGTGTGCGGGAATGGATTCAATGGAAAAGAGTCGCCTCGGGCAGGGGATGGTGGCACCCACACACGTGGTGAGCCAGCGCCCCGCGTTGGAGGGTGGGGACCTTGTCTCGCCTGGTGGCCAATCACAGGAGGCGGCTAGAGGGCCTTGGAGAGCGAGTCGTTGATCATGGCCTCGAGTGGGTCCGACGTCTCCACACGGAGCTTTGGGGCCGCCTTCCACACCGACATGAGGACGGCAAAGCGGCAGTAACGGACGTTGCACATGTCGACCAGCCACCTAGCCTCCTGGCTCGGGTTGAGCATCTTGTAAAAGGCCTTGACGATCCGGTCCATGTGGCGCGTCTCCTGGGCAAAGTTCTGCCGCAGCGAGTGGATGAGGCCGGCCATGACCGAGACGGCTGGGACGTCGGCCAGGGACTGGCCTTCCGCCTTGAGCTGGTAGAGGTGTGCCATGTGTTCGCGCATCAGCGCCCGCAACGATGAGAGGAGCGCAGAGCGCCGGCGGAGAATCGCCGCCACAGCCTTGGTGTGGTTCCGCCGCAGCTCGGTCATCTGCGCAATCTGGGTCTCGCTCAGCCCGAGCGGGTTGGACGCCGTCAGGATCTCAAATGGCGACTTGTTGGAGGCAGAAGGCCGCGGGGCAGGCGCCGTGGGGTCGGGGTCGATGTCCTTCAGCAGCTGGATCATCGCGTCCTCGCTTGCCCGCTCGCGGTCGTACCGCTCCTGCCGCTCCGCGTTGATCAGCACGTTCTTGAACTCGGAGCTCTCCGGGTCGACAACTTGACCATCGTCGCCAATAAACTTGGTCAGCTGCGACGACGGCGTCGGGCCCATGCACGACGAGCCGTCGCCCTTGAACGCCGGATCCGGGTCGCACGCCAGCGCGCTCGACCACGACTGCATCCCGCGCGCACGACACGCCATCTCGGCGTCGTCAGTCTTCTTGAGCGCCTCGTTTTCAGCCTTGAGCGCGTCGAGCTGTGACTCCAGCTCGGCAAACCGCGCCTTGGTCTTCTCGCGGTACCGCTTCGACGCCCGCCGGTTCTGCTCTGCCCGCTTCACCGGGTCGCGCTTGCCCGAGCCAGACTGCGACTTGGACTTGGATGCCTTGCCGCGGCCCTTGTTGCCGCTGGCCTTGGCCTTCTTCGACGTCGGCTCGTCTGTTGACGCCTGCGGCGCAGCCCGCTTCCGGCTCTGCTGCTGCTGACCCGACGTCGGCGGTGGGACCGACTGCACAGGCACAGGCTGCGGCACCATACTGCTCGGCACGACGGCGGCGGCGGTCGGGTTGTCGAGACGGTTGGCCTGGTTGTAGATGTCGTGCATGACGTCGTACGAGACCGAGGGCGGGACTGGAAGCTGAGCAAAGAGCGAGTTCTCCGACACTTGGTCCACCTCGTCAGCCATAAACGAGCCAAAGTGAGTCGTCGGGGTTGACTTGGCCATGTAAGGCATCTCAGACGGAGGAATGGCATGCATGACCGATGCCGGTGGCATGTACGGCTGAAGCGGCGGAGTGATTAGCGGTCCAAGGTCATCCAGCTCAAGGCCGGGATTGTTGAGAAAGTGCTTGAACATGGCAAACGAGGCATCCTGGTTGGTGGCCGTCCTCGCATCAGGATGACCCACACCGGTCGCCACATTGAGATCCATCGTGTTCTGAAGTGTTTGGCGGCAGCTGCTGATTAGTTGGTGGACAAAGAGACGAAACAGACGAGTGTTCGGGAAAAAGGCCTTCGACTTTGTCGGGGTTTCTTCGATGCGCTTGGTGCGGAGTGCGGAGAAACAGTCCAAGGGGAAGGAGAACGTGCTAAGTGGGTCACAGTAGCACTCGGTCGTGCGAGTAGAGGGGCGAAGGAAGACTGGTGGCTTGGCAGGGAGTAGAAGGTCGGTGTTCCAAGCAAAGCCGTGAGAGAGATGGTTGCCGCTTCTGCACGCGTTGTGAAGTCGTGTGTTCGCTGCGGAACGAGCGGGTGGGTACATTCTGCAACAAACGTTTTTGCCGCCAGTCAAACTGTCAAAAATTGCCTGAGGGCTCGCAGTCCAACGCCACGTCCCTCTGTCCACTGCAACGTTTCCTGCCCACCTGCTTTGAAGTCGATACTAGTCCGGCATGGCTTCTCCTTGCCAGCTTTGTCTCAACGTCACAAGGCTGGTTCCTCGCCCGCAAGGGAGTGCTCTAGATAGGCGCGGGTTGCGGCTGGAATGACGCGGCATATTTTTCACGCTTTTGAACCAATTTAGCGCGTTGGATAAGGCTGGGCAGGAGAGCAGCAACCAGCTGGTGGCTGACGACAGCCTACAGTCAATATGCAACCCCCCCCCCCTCAATTCGACAACTGCTGAAGCGGCCGGTTTTTTTTCCTCCGCTCTCCGCTCCCGCATATTAATTATTGGATGAGGATCGGCGCGATGATGGTGCCCTTGACAGCGCCTTCGGTCACGGCCGCCGCCGCCGAGCGGAAGAGGTTGCGTGAGGTGTTGCACGAGGTGACTTGGTGGAGGAGGCCGCGAAAGGCGTGATGCGCGGCGGCACGAGCCTTGCCCTCCGGCGCAGCCGAGATCTCGGCCTCGACGCTGCGGAGGGCGTGAGCAGTGACGCCAGGCGCATTGCCGAAGATGGTGTGCAGGAGGTCGAGCGCGCCGGCGGAGGCCAGCTCCAGATACGCGTCGGCAAGGGCGTGGATTACGGTGATGCCGTCGTAGTCGGTCTGCACGTGCGAGAGCACATTGAGCATGCCCTCGACAATCTGCGGAACAAGCGGCGCAAAGGCGTCGTCGCCGGCAAAGAGCTTGACCACGCGCGAGGCGAGCGTTACGCCGATGACGTGTGCACGCGGCGCTGGCCACCACAGCAGCTTGACCGAGGCCTCGACAAAGAGCGACCGCATCGGCTCCTGCAGGACAAAGACATCAGCTGCGAGGACCGAGTTGTTGCGAGACGGCAGTCGCGATGAAAGCGACCGCAGCTGCGAGGCTAGCAGCCGCGTCGCCACCTGCAGCGCGTTGTTGATCCGGCTCTCCTCGGCCTGCGCCGCCTCGGCCCCGTGGCGTTCCGAGAGCGCCGCGAGCGTCGCGCCCGACCCGAGCGCCTCCCACTCGGCCACGAGCCGCTCAAAGAGCGCTCCTGTCCACAGATGCAGCAGCGGGTGAAGGAGCGAGTCGTGGTGGGCTTTGGGCGTCCGGGCCCGAAGCGGCGCAATGATCTTCTGCACCATCGGCTCTAACACCGCGAGCGACGTCGTCCCGACGTGCTCCACAATCGCCGCTGCCAGCGCCGCGCCCATGTCGGGTAGCTCGCAGGTGACGTGCGGGTACTCGAGCGCGACGTGGATGACCCCGTAGAGCTCGCGGACCACGGCATGCATCCACCACTGCAGAAGGACTGCCGGTGAGCCAAACTTGGAGCCATCGCCCGGGTTAAGCCCGTGCCGCAGCAGCAATGACGGCACTGCCGGTGAGCTCCATGCGCTCTCGTTGACCGCAAGCAGCTTTGGTGGTGGGAGGAGGAAGGCGTCGGCAAACGCGTCCGGGAGCGCTGCAGCTGTGCTGGGCGCCAGCAGCGAGTGGAGCGACGAGAGCAGCGCGAGCATCGGGCCGAGCACCACAGGAATGGCGCTGGTCACCGCTTCCGACCGCCATCCGCGCGAGAACGAAAACACCGTGTTGACCACGCTCACCAGATGGAAGATGGAGTTGCGGAAGCCAAGCGAGGCGCCCGAGTGCGCCTTGCTCGCGTCGTCGAGACCAAGCGCTTGCGCCAGCGCCTGGGGGCTCGCCACCGCTCCGCCGAGCTCGGTACCGGTCCACGCCGGCATGACCTCGCTCAGCATACCGCCTACCAGCTCGTCGCGCGCGCCCGGCTCAAGCCCGTCTGCGAGCAGCAGAATCGCCTCGTAGAGCAGCGGTGTCTCAAAGTCTAGCACCGCCTGAGCTTCGCGCAGTCGCGCCACTTCGCCGCGCAGTCGCGCCAGTGATCCGTCGAGCTGCTCGCCGGCCGCCAAGCAGAGAAGAGTGAGCTCGTGCGCCGCTCGCCGGCGTATCTCAAACGTGCCTTGGCCCTCGACGGCGGCATCAAGCGGCGCGTCCGACGCCGAGCCTGAGAGCCGGACCGTCGCCATTGAGAACAAGAGATCAAGAACCGGCTGAGCTGCCTCGGGCAGCGCAGAAATAAAGGGGAAGAAGGCAGCGACGAGATGAAGGTACTCATCAAGCACGGATTCGGTCGTCACCGCCGCCGATCCGAGCGCGCTCACAAACTCGAGCACAAACTGCAGGAGCGCGCCAAACGTCGCCCGCGCCTCGTCCTGGTCTTCGTGTGCCCGTGTCTCGCTCAGCAGGCTCACATCCGACAACGGCTGACCGTCATCGACGAGGACCCACCGCGGAACGCACGCCACAGTCGCCCGCAGCATCCGCGCCGCGCCGGCAAGGAGCCGGCCAAAATCGGGCCCGGCCTCGCCGCTGGGTACCAGCCCGCACACCGCCTGAACGTAGCTGGCGGCAAAGACCAGCGTCTTTGTCCCATGCAGCTTGGCCAGCTCGCCCACCACCGCGTCAGTGCCATCGGCGAGCGCCTCGGCCGCAGCCTCGGCAGCAGGCCCGTCGTCGTACTCGTATGCTGCTCGCTGTGCGATCGCGGTCTCGCCGCGGATCTGTGCCCGCGCCTGGTACCATGCCACCACGCACTCCTCAATCCGGGTCACCACGGTTGCAGTCGAGGACTCGCCGGGCGTCAGCAGCTCTGTCCGCAGCAGCGAGGCCACCAGCCGCGGCAGTGGCTGGACAAGCTTGAGCGATGGCGCACTCGCTAGCGCGAGCATCGCCTCGAGGTACGACCACCAAGAGTCATGGATGCCGAGCGCCTCGCCGCGAGTAGCCCGCCGCCGCACAAGCGCAAGGTGGAAGAGGCCGAGGTCGGCTAGGACCGCTACCAGTAGCGTTACAAACTCGTAGTGCGCAACGTCGTCGACCTGCGCATCGCTCGCCAGCGGCGCCATCAGCGGCTCCAGAAAGTCGAAAACTACGAGGATGTGGTTGGCGAGGGCAGAATCCGACTGTCGGTCGAGGAGCGCAACAATGACGCCGAGTGCGGCCTTGCGCGCGCTGGTATCGTCGACGGCAGCTGCCACGCTTGCGAGCAGCGAACGAAAGGCGTCGGCCGGAATGCTGCCGACGTCGGCGAGCTGCATGATGTTGTGCAGCGCTGCAAGCGCGAGGGGCGCCAGGCTACGGCCCGGCGAGCCAGCTGCCTCGCCCATGGCAAACTGGAGCGCGTTGCCAGCCAGTTCGAGAATGGGTGCCTCGACTACAGCCCACGCGTCCTTGAGCTCGTGCGAGCGGGCGATGGCCGCCGGCGCCGTCGATGACGTCGGCTTAAACCTTGTTGCCCGGTACAGACCATGGACAAATCCCTCGACGGCAGAGAGGACGGCGCCGGCAACCTCGAGCGAGCTTGAGCTCTCCATCTGCGCCACCAAGCTGTCGACCAGGTCGGGCCAGTTGGTCGGCCATAGCGAGAGCGCCAGTGAGACGAGCACGTCGACAATCTTGCTCTGCACAAAGCCTGCAGCATAGACCTCATCCGGCAGCAGCTTGCCAGCAAGCGGCGAGTCGGTTGGACCTGTGTTGACCAGCAGCGCCATGACATACGCCCGGAGCGCTGACACACCATCGCTGGTCAAGCTCTCGCTCACGCCGGCCATGAGGGCACCCTCCATCATGCCGAGGCCAGCGTGAACCATGGCCGGCGCCAGATCTGAGCCGAGGCCAGCGGCCACAATCATCGGTGCGAGCGAGAGCGAAAGCAGCGGATCGCGATTGATGTCGACAACAAATGCCGATGCCTGCGACAGTTCTGTGGAAGATGCTGAGCCTGCCGAGAGCGAGGTAGCCACGGCGTGGACGGCTGTCTGTGACTGCTCCTCGTCGACCTGGGAGGGCTTGGGCAGATAGCTGACCCATTCACCCGCACTCATGACTTTGTCGATGACAAAGGTGAAGATGGAGACAGATGCTGGTCATGTGTGTAGTCTGTCGCTGTTGCTGTCGGTGCTTGAGTCGGCGAGTGTCCGACTCAACCGCCGTTTCGTTCGATATGGCATGAGACGTAGGACGGAGGCCAACCATGATTAACTCTTGTTCATGCTAATGCATACCCCCACACACAACCATTAACTCTTGTTCATGCTAATGCATACCCCCCCACACAACCATTAACTCTTGTTCATGCTAATGCATACCCCCCCACACAACCATTAACTCTTGTTCATGCTAATGCATACCCCCTACACAACCATTAACTCTTGTTCATGCTAATGCATACCCCCACACACAACCATTAACTCTTGTTCATGCTAATGCATACCCCCCACACAACCATTAACTCTTGTTCATGCTAATGCATACCCCCACGCACCCCACGCACACACACAAACACACACACACACCTCTCAGACATGCACCTCCTCACCCCCACCCTTTCCCTCGCCCTCGCCCTCACCCTCATCCTCATCCTCCTCCCCCCCCACACACACACCCGAGTCGTCCCGTCGTCCGCACTGCTGCAGCCGGCGGCCGAGTCCGCGCCAGATGGAGCCTACGGCGGGGTCATGCCGGGTTATGCCCGCCACGCAGGCGGCCTGAGTCTCATACCAGGCGACGATGGCTACGCCCGTGTCATCGATGAGGCGTACTGGGCTCTCCTTAGACTCGGTCGCCAAGGTATGTGCCTGGACCCGCTCAAGCATGTCCTGGTCAACGCGTCGGACGTTGCCATCCACATGCTGAGACACTCGACAGACGGACGTAGTCAGCGCATCATCCAGGTCGTCGATGCAGCATATCGCCCCAGACACTGGGCGGTCTTCTTTGGCTACGCTTTCGACCTCTCCCTCTCCATCAGTCATCCGCACCAGGACGAGCTCTTCCGCCACTCCCTTCGCCTCACCACTGACGTCTATCGATCGCCGCTCTCCCTCACCCATCACACCTTTGCCCCGCTCCATCCTACCCCATCATCATCATCCTCCTCCTCCTCTCGCAAGCCGTCGTTCAAGCTCGTCTCGTACAACATCTGGAACACAAATCGCTGGAACGACCGCGCGCATGCTCTGGCTGCTCTTCTCGCCCGCTCTCAGCCCGATGTCATTGCCCTGCAAGAGGTCCGCCTCGACACCTCGCTCCGCGACGCGCCCGAGTTTGCCTTTGATCCCGACTCGATTCTCGCTCGCCACGACCTCCGCGGCCTCGATGCGGTCAACCAGGTTGTCCAGCTCGCTCTCCTCCTCCCAGACTACCCACACTTTACCTTTCAGCCCGCCATGTCGTACCCGCAGCTGCCGCTCGGTCGGGTCGAGGAGGGTCTGCTCTTCTTCTCCAAAACTCCGCTGACAGACACCGCGTATGCTCTGCTCTCCCGCGATGTCGCCCAAGACCACATGGACGTCCACCAGCGCATCGTCCTCTCTACATCGACCCGCACCGCCTCGGGCGTGGACGTCCAGCTCTTGCAGACCCACATGTCGCTTACTCCGACCGCCCGCCTCCGAAACATGCTCGAGATCGCCTCGTTTGCCCGCGCCACACAGGGTCGCCGCTCGAAGCTCCAGCTACTCATGGGCGACTTCAACACAGACGTTGCCAACGAGCGCACCGGCTGGGGCCAGTCCATCGAGTTTATCGTCGGCCGCCGCCGCATCGCCTCCCGCCATACCCCGGCCCGCTTCCGCGACGCCTGGTACGACGCCGCCGCTGCGCAAGCACCCCGTCGCCGCCACGGCTACGGCCCGACCTTTCCGGCTCACAACGCCACCCTCCGCATTGACCTTGTCTTCTATCGCAACGTTCGCCCCTCGCCGGCTGCTCTCTGTCCCGTCGACGTCGACATCCTCGGTGCTGACCATTACGCTGTCGCCCCGCATGACGACCCCGACCCGGTGCTCGTCTCCGACCACCTTGGCCTCGCCGCCAGCTTTGCTCCCTGTCCTCCAATTTGAATCCTTAACGGTACTGTCGTTCAAGTGTACAACTCGATGATGCTCGACTTCCAGGTCACCGGCCGACGCTGTGCCCGACCTAGGAGCATGGGCGAGGCGCGCGAGGTGCCGTACGGCGCCGATCCGGAGGAGCGGCGGGCACGGACGGTGCGGAGCTTGTCGTTGACGACCCCGACGACCGGGAAGTTGAGCATGACAGAGTTGAACACAGCGGCGGGACGGGAGGGCGCGAGGACGTCTTGCGGCGGACGAGCTTGCCGATCGGCGTGGCCGCGCAAGTGGTGGTACGCCATCTTGTACTGGATTCTGGACGCCGCGCTCATCAACGCGTACGCGCTCTACGCTGACGCGAGCCCGCGCTCCACCATGACTCGCTTGGCTTTTCTCCCCGACATCATTTGCTCATGTACTGTGTTGCCCACTTTGAGGCACGCTACAACGCGCCCGGGCGGCTGTACCGTTAAGGTCACGCTCTCTGCTCTGCCACTGCCGTCCCGAGCCCCAGAATCCCACGCACGCACGCCGCAACATAAGCGTCACTCACCACAGGGAGCGCCGCTCCGCGCGGCAACACCGAGCCGCCCGACTGGGGATCCATCCGCCGCACCACATCCGCGAGTGGGTACAGCGGGTGCTGCTGCTTGCTCACCAACGCTTCTGCCCGCTCCTTCCACGCCTCGAGCGGGAGCTCGTCGACATCGATTCCTTCAGCCCGCATCACCGCCACCACCTTGCCGAGCGTCGGTCCGGCGCCAAAGAGGTTGGCCACCTCCTGCCTATCGTCTTCCGCCACCGCGCGTGCTACCCACTCGACTGGCGCCCAACGAAGCGGCATGGTTGCCTTTTCTGGCGCCCCGCCAATCTCGGCTATGAGCTTGATGAGCAGGGAGGTAAAGTCGGCCGCGTTCGACGCCCCGTCTGCCGCGCCTGAGATCGCTGTCGGCCGGAAGACCCGCACCTGGAGCCTCGCACACGCCGCTCCTGCCCGCCGTACAACCTCCTCCGCAACAGCCTTGCTCTGGCCGTATCCCGACTTGCGCGCAAGCAAGTGTGGCGCCCACGCGTTCCAGTCCTCGTCGTTCGTCTCGCTCGCCGTCGCCGTCGCTGTCACCGCCCCCACCGTCGACACAAACCGGAACGCCGCTCCGCCGAGCAGCGCGAGCTCGAGCATCCGCCGCGTCCCGCTCACGTTGGCTGCCTCCAGTCCGGCATACGGCAGCGAGAGATTGACCCGCGCGCCCGAGTGCACCACCAATCCCACCCCGCCCACAATCTCCGCGTACACATCGGCCGAAAGCCCGAGCTTCTCGGCCTCGAGATCTGCCGCCCGCACAACCACCCGTGGCTCGGGCTCCGCTCCTATGGCAGCAGCGTACACCGCGCGGAATCGTGCGGTTGCTCCGGCATCGTCCTCGCCGCGCACGAGACACACCACCCGGTCCGCAGACGGATGTGCCGCCGCCAGTGCAGCCACAAGGTACGGGCCGAGGAAGCCAGTGCTGCCCGAGACAACCACCCAGTTCCCGCACCTAGACTCGGGCCCCGCCTTAAGCACCGGCGCCAGCGCCGCCATCTGCGCATTGACAGCTCGCTCCCACGCCACAGCATCCTTGCTGCTCGTCCCACTTACCCCGGCCTCCAGCTGCGCCGCCACATGCACCAGTGGGTACTCGTACAGCGTGGCCATGCTCAGCGCGCCCTCGCCGGCAGCCCCCGCCACCGTGTTGACAATCACCGCTGCCGCCAGTGAGTCGCCGCCAAGATCTGCAAGCGTCACTTCGTTGCCCACCTCGCCGCTCTCCGGCAACGCGCCCGGTAGCGCCCGATCGACAGCCTCTCGCAGCATGCCCGCGAGCACAGTCACCTGGTCATTACTCCCAGCGGAGGAGCTCGCACTGCCAGATCTGTACAGCTCGTCGCGGATCGCCCGGTATCGCTTGCCCAGCACTGCCCGGCGCTTCTTGCCCGTCGGCGTCAGCCCGCCGCACTGGACCGTCCACGCCACCGGCTCGACAAAGACCGCTTGCGGAATCTCTAGAGGACGCAGCTTGGCCTGCCGCGCCCAGAACCGGACTTCAGTGAGCATCTCGCTGGCGTCGAGCTTGCGACCCGCTTCCGTCGGCACAACTACCACAACCGGACTCCGTTGCCGCGGCTCGGCCATCACCAGCGTGCTCTCGATGGCCGGCGAAGCCTCCAGCGCCGACTCGATGGCCGCAGGCGCAATCCACTCGCCAGAAACAAGCTTGATGCACGAGGCCACCCGGTCTACAATCCTCACCGAGATCCGCCCGCTCTCGCTGTCGACAAAGGTCTCACCGATGTCACCGGTTTTGTAGAACAGTCGCCCGTCGCCGTGCAGGTCGACGAACCGCTCGGCCGTCGCTTCGGCGTTGCCCCAGTAGCCAGGAATGAGCCGCGGCGAGTGGACGTAGATCTCTCCCACAGACACACTACCGGCAGCAACGTCTCCCAACAACTCCTCTGCCAGCGGCTCCAGATGGACCTCGATGCCAGGATAGACAACCCCGTCCCGGGCAATGCCGCCAGTCTCACGCGAGCCGTACAGATTGACCAGATCGATGCCGAGGACTTGCTTGGCAAACTCGGCGACCTGCTCAGAGAGTGGCGCCCCGCCCGACGTCGCCACCATCAGCCGGTTGCCCAGCGAGGCCTTGACGGCTGCTCCAGCCGCGGCGGCGGCCTCGGCCCGTCCCAGCACCCCGTCAGCCATGAGCTCAACCGTTTTGGCACGGTACTCGTTGTAGAGCGAAGCCCAAAACGACGGTGCCGCTCCGAGGTTGGTCGGCCGCGCGATCTCGAGGTCCCGACGCATGTTTGCCATCGACGACGCAAAGATCCGCACCTGCCCAAGCCGCATCGTCGAGAGAAGCGAGAGCACAAACGTGGGATCGAACGACTGAAAGTCGAACCGCACCAGCGGCACGACCACCGTGTTCCCGGCCGACGGCCGCATCAACGACTCGGTAAACATCGAGCCCTTGGGCGTGCCTGTCGAGCCCGAGGTGAACAGGACCGCCGTCACCTCGTCATCGCCGCGGACAACCGGCTCAAACTCAGACCCGGCCTCCCACTCTGCTTTGGCTGCTTTTGCCAGTTCGCCCATCTCCCACACAAGGCATGACATGGTGGCTTGGGTCTTGCTCGCGACTTGTCCGTCGACCACAACCGCCGCCGGCTGGATCAGTGCCGCGAGCTCGGACAGCGTCTCGCCTGCCAGCGCGGCGTGAACAGGCACTAGCACTGCGCCACTGAGCACGACGCCAAGGGTCAGCGGGACGTAAGCAGGCGACACATCACACGCCAGCAAAATCCGCGGCGGCTCCTTTCCGTCGAACTTCTCCTGCTCGAGCATGGCCCGAAAGTACGCTGCGTACGCCCAGCTCGCTGCCGCAACCTCAGCGTAGCTTTGGATCGTCACACCCGAGCCGTCGGGCGTCACCTGTCCGATGAACGGGCGGTCGGCAAAGCGGCGAAAGGCATCGGCAATGAGCGGCCCGCATGACGCCCCGGTCGCTGTATTGAGCTCGCATGTCGTCCGCGGCGCGAGCTCGGAGTAGTGCTCGTGCGCCTCGGCCATGTCCGACACATGGCACGCTCCGCAGCAGTACCACGGGCTCGACGCCTCGCACGCCTCGCAACTCCAGCGCGTCTCGCCAGGAAAGACCGGCTTTGAGCAGATGGAGCAGAGGCAAATGTGGGTGGCGATCGAGGTCGACGGCTGCAACACCGCAGTCGCCTCCCCATAAGACCCGCCCTTGACGTTGCGCCAGCTTCCGGTAAATCGACTCAACCCGTCAGGCCCGGCCTCGATGGCGCCGGTGTACTCGACGTCGTACCCATGCGTCGCCTCGTGCGACGCGTCGTAGTGCTTGACAACCGTCACCGCCCCGCTAGCGGCGTCGACTCTTCCGGCAAGCGTAAAGGTGAGGACCGGCGAGCCCGGCACATCGCCCGAGTCCTCAAAGAAGCCCGCGCCAAACACTCTGCCAGCTCTCTTGTCCACCGCCATGCTCCACATGACCGGATTGGTAGGGATGAAGAACGGCGCAAGCTCCGGATGAGGTACAGCTTCGCCGATCCAAAGCCCCGCCAGGAACTCTGTCTCTGCTCCTTCGCCTCGTGTGCAGCACGCCGCAAATGGTCCGCCGTCATCTCCATCCACCGGTCGCCACACGCCCTTGAGCCACACCAGACCGTCACCATCGACCGAGTACGTCGCTCCGTACCGACGCGTCGGCGAGGACACATCCACAAACCGGCGAGCCACCGATCCCATCAGCACCTCGACTTCACCTGCTCCATCGCTCGAGCCTGCACCAGAGTCATCTGGCCCAAGCGCAGCGCCAAAGGCCGATGGAAAGCGCGGCCGCGGGGCGAGGGTCAGCACCCACGTCAGCTCGTGATCAACCTCGCCTGACTTTGCCATCGCTGTCCCTGTCCACACTCCCGACACATGCGGCGGTGACGTCATGGCCGGGCGCTACTTTGCCAGGCTTGAAGACGACTTGTCCTTTCGTGCTTCCGTCTCGATTCCTCGTCAGGTAGTCTGTCAAGGAATCGGCCTTTTGCTTGGTCGACTTAGCTCGAGCTCGAGGTCCGTAGGTATGTCCCCTGTGTGTTGGTCAGAGAGCAATGGAGAGCAATGTTCTCCTCGTCTGCAGTCGCAGGCTCCTTCCAATCAGCGGTCGCCCTTCGGCTTCCACTCGCACCTATCGCACAACTTGCCCGATCATGTGTCGCAACCGGCGAACTGCTTGTCGTCTTCAATGGATCGAACAGGAGCAAGGCTGCGCTGAGTAGCCAGCTCTGTGAGCGTGGTGCTCGGGCACTACGCGAGGTAGTTGTACTGCTTCCGCGACTTGGGGTCGCGCTCGAGGTAGCCGCGCTCGATGAGGGTCTCAATCTGCTTCTTGATGACAGGAGGGTTGGGGGTGAAGCGAGCCTTGAGCTGCTTGATGACGGCGGCGACGAGGTTTGCATGGTCGAGGGTCTTGCGAGCCTTCATGATGCGGACAATGGCGGCGTCGATCTTGAACTTACGGTCGTCGTCGACCTTGCGGATGGTGACTTCGCGCTCGCGCGACGACTCCTTGGTGACGACTTGCGGAATCTTGAACTTGAAGAGCTTGCACTTGAAGGTCTCGTTAAAGGTGAACACGTCGTCGGGCTTGATCTTCTTGGACTTGGGCTCCTTGGTGAGGATCTTGTACTTTGCACAGGCGAGCGAGAGCAGGTCGCGCTTGAGGGCCACAATGTCGAGCTCGGTGGCGTCGCGAATCTCGGTAAAGGTCATCGAGTCGGCCTGGTTGAAGAGGCAGAGGATGGCCATCTGTGTAGTCGAGACCGAGATTTCCTTGGTCTTGCCACCAAACGTGGCCTTGAGGTCGGCGGTGCCCTGCGTTGACTGCCAGTTGAGGACGCGGCCCGAGTGCGAGTTGAGGTAGAACTGCTTGAACACTTCCTGGCACTTTGCGATCTCCGGCGGGAGGATGCACGAGCCGGCCACCTGCGGCCAGAACCCGGTGGTGAGGACCTGGACCGAGAGGGTGATGCCGAGATTCTTGGCCAGCTCCGACTCGCCAAACTTGTCCATGATGTCTGCAGAGAGCTGCACGTCCTTGAACATGCCCTCGAGCTTGTGCGTGAACGACATGCCACACTCGGACTTGAGCTTGGTGATGACCTCGCGCTCGGCGTCGTTAGACGCCGACCGGCCCGAGAGCAGCCGCTTGGCGAGGTGGTTCTTGTAGTACCGCTCGAACATGTCCTTCTCCTCGATGCGCCGGAAAAGAATGAGGCACTTGTCGATGATGGCGGACTTTTCGTCCTCGGTCACGCCCTTGGCCCCCTTCTTGAGCTTGTCGTCGATGTAGAGCGAGAGATACTCGGGCGACCGGTTGCCCTCAAGGTTCATAAAGTGGTCGAAAGCCTTGTTCATCTCCACCGCAAACCCGTTGTCCTCCGCAAACACGTTGACAATGAGCGACCAGTACCGGTCGTGGACCGCAATGAGCGTCTCGACGTACGACTTGAACTCTTGCTTCTTCGAGCTCCGCTTCTTCTTCTCGTCCTTGCTCGCTGCGGCCGTAGACGACGACGCCGCCGCCCCGTCGTCGTCGTCGTCGTTGACGTTGTTGAGCGCCTCGATCCGCGCAAGCCCGTCGTCGCGCACGTGGTTGCGGAAAATGTCGCGGAGCGGGCCAAGCCCGTTCTCGATCCGCGCAAGCAAGTTGTACAGCCGCCGCAGGTCGTCCTGCTTGTCCTGCGTAAGCATCGACGGGAACTCGGCCTGGATCTTGTCGATGTGCTGCGCCACCATCACCGTCTCGCACGTCTTGGTCAGCCGCTCCAGTGTCGAGTGGTGCAGGTACCGCGCCACACGATCCACCTCCTCTGCCAGACGCACCTCCACCTTTTCATAAAGTCGGCACATGAGTTGTCCGTAAGGAACTTGGACGACTCCATCACGTAGTACACCTGCGTCGCCTGGATAAACGCGTCCTCAAACGCCGCCTTGTACATCTCGAGCACAACTTGCGCCGGATCAGAAATGTTAAACGACATCGCCACAAACGACTCCACCACAGTCTTAACCAGCGCAGTGTCGATCTGCTCGCCGTTCCGCTCGCGCTCAATCTCTGCAAGCAGCGCATCCTGCAACCGCGACATGATGTGCGCAAACAGCTCGTCGCGCCACGTCGCGATGCACAGCTCCTTGATCGTAAACACGTTGGTCTCCACCCGACCCTCAACCTCCTCGCGCTGCCGCTTGACCCAGTATCGGTTGATGTAGTTGAAAATCGAGTTGGTCACCTGCACCACGTACTGGTAGTCGCGCCAGAGCTGCGAGTACTGCGAGAGGAGCGTCACTCCCATCGTTCCCGTCAGCGAGCTGCGCAGCACCTCCATCCGCGCCTTGAGCACGTTGCCCAGCTCGTGGTACATCTGTCCGCCGATAAACGACGCCCCCGACCCAGTCGAGTCTGTGCTGGTTCCCGTGCAGTAGTCCGACACCATCCGCACATACTTCATGTAATCCTCGGTCGAGATCGGAACCTCTACATCGTCCAGCAGCTGCTCCACAACCCCACGGAGGTCGGGCCACACATCGCCCAAATGGACCGTCTTGGGCATTCCTTCCACTGCCCGCACCCACACCCGCCACACAGCCCCCCCCCCGCCCATACACATGCATACCAACACCATGAGTCTCCAAACTTTGTCCATGTCTTCCTCAGCTATCTCCCTCGCTCAGCAGCTGCATGCTTCCTAAACCCGCCCAAGCACCCGCCCTCATCAAGCCGGTAGCGGCTACAGCGGGTCGGGCCAGCCAAGCGAAGAAGGTCGTCATTGATCAACCTGGTGTTGGAAGAAAAAATGGTCGGCTTGCAGCGACCACTCCCCACACAAAGACCCACACGCAGACGAGCGCAAGACACCCACAAGAAGCCAGAAGAGAGACTCAGAGGCATGCTACAACAAACAGAACATCATGTTCATGCCATTTGTATGTCGTGGACGGTCAGAAAGTGCTCCTGCTGTGGTCACGTACGTTGAAGAGGTGTATTCGTATCTGTCGCATTGGTCTTTGCACTGTCACTCGGCCTCTGTCACTCGTCGCCAGCTTCCACAACCATGCCCTCTCGCTGTTGCGCCAATCAAGCAAGCATTGCATCTTTATGCTACTGGCGACGGAAACGAGATCAGCCTCGAGCCCGGAGAGCAAGAGATCAGGATGTGCTTCCATTACGTCCAGTCTTGCCCTTGACGCGTCCGCCTCGGCCTCGGCCTCCCCGACCAGCCCGGCCAGGCGGTGCGGCAACTCGCGACGCAAAGGCCGGCATCGGGAGGCTCGACTTGCCCATGTTGGCCGGTCGACCGCCGCGATCGCGCGGGTTCATGGCAAGGACCAGGGTCTTGACCTTGGCCTGCGGCGCAGCGGCGCGCGGGCGGACCGGAATGCGAAAGCCGGCGAGCTCGGCAATCGAGAGCGAGGCCGCGGCAAGCTCCGGCAGCCGAACCAGCGGCACTTGTGGATCAAAGAGCGGGTGGACAGCCGCGGCAAAGGCAGCACCACCGAGTGAGGCCAGCGCAGCGCTGGCTTCCGAACTCGGGGTGCCGTCGGCAAAGACCTTGGACCGCGCCAGCGCGTCAAGCGTCACGCCGAGACGCTCCAGCAGCAGCTTGCGCCGCATCGCCATCTGCGCCGCAAACGAGTCGTTGATTTGCGCCAGCAGATCCAGCTGCCGAGGCTGCATTCCAGTGCAATCGATCGCTGTCTGTGCCTCCCATCCGGCCTTGGCCGCCATTCGCATCTCCACCGCACCGACGGCGGCGTGGAGTGCAGCGGCAAGGTCACCAGGCCCGTCATCTGCGTTTGGCACTAGAACGCCCGCCACGCCGCGCACATGGCGGGTGATCTCGGCGTTGGCTGACGGCGCTGTATGTGTGGGAAACCACGGCGCAGCTGATGGCGCGTCGGCAGCGCGCCAGATCTCGGCCAGGGGCGCGACGGCTGAGGCGCCCCCGCTGGCACGTTCACCGCCTCTGGCGGCGCTACCCATCAGCGCCGCCGTCTGGGCCTCAACAACAGCCGACTCGAGCGCTAGCAAGCGATCTGCGGGCAACGCCAGGTCGGCAGCACTGGGCAACTCGCCCGACTTGCCCACGATCGCCTCCAAGACCGCCATGATGCGCCCCGGCTCGTCGGCCTCGACCGCCGCAGCCAGGTCGTGTGCGGACATAGGCTGGCTGAGAAGGCCCAGAGCCTGCTCCAGGCGTACAAGGCGAAACGAGGGCATGGCCCACTTGTGGCAGTAGAGAGTGGCTTCGACGGGGAAGGTGGGTTGGGGGTGAGGTGGGTGTTGAAGGGGAGGGAAGGAGAGGGGGGGGGGGAGGGGGGGGGGGGGGGGCGGGGAGGGCGGAAGGATCGATGCGACAACATCACCCCGCCGTCCTCAAGCACACGTTCCAGAGCAAGCTCATGTCGTGTCTATGGGGTGGTGTGTCGAGTGGAATTGTTGCTCTTTTGGTTTACCTCTCCCCTTCAGGCAGTGAGGACGCAGGCGCCGCCAGCCTCGAGGATCTTGGCCTCGGCCTTGCGCGAGAAGAACTTGGCCTTGACGATGAGCGGGATGGAGATCTGACCGCGGCCGAGGACCTTGAAGAAGCCCTTGTTACCGACGTCAAGGACGGGGACCTTGGAGGCATCGGCCTTGACGGCCTCCTTGATCGAGGCCGGGACGAGCGCGGCGAGCTTGTCAAGGTTGACAGTCGGGCAGTAGTGGGCGTTCTTGTTGTAGTGGAACTGGCGCATACCGACCTTACCGAAGTAACCGGGGTGGAACTTGTCAAAGTTGGTGCGGTGATGGTGCTGGCCACCGGCGTTACCGCGGCCAGACGGGTGCTTGCGGTGCTTGCCCACACGACCGTGACCGGCCGACACGTGGCCGCGCTTCTTACGGTTCTTCTTCAGAGTGGTCGTCTACTCACAGCAAGTCACGGGAGAAAAAGCAGAACAAGGCCACCATGTCCACAACGTGAGTCTCATCGCCATCACCTCCTCCCTTGTCCACCCCTCACAAGCCTGCTTGAGAGAGCCAGGCGCGCTCACATGCTCCCCGCCACCACCGCCGACCAGAACCTTGGATCCCATCCGGCAGCTTCTGATCGGACACGGGACGGCAGGCCACGGCCACGCTCTACACACCCATGCAGGGGAGCAGCAACTCGCTCTCCTTGCAGTAGTGTGTGAAGCATGGCTCAGCAGCATGGCTATGGCGTTGCCGAAGCACACCCCGCCCGCTGGGCCACTGCTGGTGGAGGCGTAGCGAGTGTGTCGGACCAAAAATAAGCGCCCGGCCCCAAGCATCACCGCTGCCGCCCAGAGTGCGCACAGGAGGCTACAGGGCAGCCACCGGCACAACGCCCCCGGGCAAGCGCATAGAGGGTGTGTAGATGTGGTCTATGCGCGTTTCGCCGTCGGGTTGTCGTCCTCGCAACGTCTGGCGGGCTGGCCAAGGTCGCACCTTGGTCGAGCCGTCAAACAAATATTCGTACCATTGTGTGGAGTGGTGTGTTGCTGTGCTAAATCCCCAACACTTTTGCCACACGCTCCCAGCCTCACTCGGCCGACCCGCCGCCACTCGTTCGGCCGAGTTGGCCGCGGCTGGCCGGCCGGCCGGCGGGTGGCGGGCGCAGTGTCTGAATTCGAGTGTTCGAACACAGTTCGGTCAGCATACAATGGACATGTTACATCGAGACTACGAGTCAGTGCCGAGGACAGACATGAGGGCCGAGACCTGCGACTGCAGAACGGCGAGCTTGGACATGGCGTTCTCGCGCGAGGCGGCGTCGGTCTTGAGGTCGGTGACCTGCAGCGGGAGATCCATGTTCCCGAGCTGCTCCAGAGCCTTGGCGCGGGCCTCAGCCTGCTCGGCGGCCTTGGCGGCCTTGGCCTTGGCGGCGGCCTTGGCGGCGGCCTTGGCCTTGATCTTGGCCTTGAGCTTGGCCTTGGCGCGGGCCTTGGCCTTGGCACGTGCAAGCTTGGCCTTGGCTTTTGCGCGCTTCTTGGCCGAGTCTGTGAGCTTGTGGCCGCCGGACGAGGCCATCGACATGGAGAGCGAGGAAGAGCAGGTCGAGAGGTCGAGCAGCGAGATCGATGACGAGTCGACCGACGACGTGTCTGCCCCGGTCGCGGTCTGGGTCGTTGTGTCGAGCTCGTCAAGGTCGTCGTAGGCGCCAGTGCCCGCAGCAGCAGCCGGCGCTGGCTTGGACGCCGTCTTCTTGGTCGTTCGCCGGCCTCCTGTCCGCGACTTGGTCCGGACCGAGCCGCCAAACACCGACGGCGTTCGCAAGTTGAGCGAGTCAAACGTGGGAGCCTTGGCTGTCGACGCCGACACGGTAGCACCGCGCATTCGCATCCGGCGCGCGGTCGACGGCGGCGCCCGCTTCTTGCGCGAGTATGTGGCCGGCGTCTTGAGCCCGCCGGGCCCACCGGACTTGCCGAACACCTCCAGCAGGCGCGAGGCAAGCGGCGAGTCGTGCCCGGCGTCGTCGGCGCCGCCGGTCCCGCCCCCTGCTCCGCTGACCTCCTGCAGCGGCAGCCGCCGCCGCTTGCCGCTCCGCGACGACCGGACGGTCGTCACCGGCCGCGACAAGCTCTCCACAAGCTCGCTTATGCCCTCGTCGGCGACTGCTCGAACCGAGCCGCCGTACTCGCTCTCGAACGACTCCATCGACATGCTGCGGACCTTGGCCGGAATCTTCATCAGCTCCACTGTAAGCGCAGAACGGATCGCCATGACAAGCGCGTCGGTCGATGCCCGCATCGCCTCGACCCGCGCCTGCACCTCCACGTCAAACTCAGCGAGCAGTGCGTCCTTCTTTGACAGCCCACCATCGTCGCCGGGCGTCTTCGGCGCCGCCGTGCCCTCAGCTGCTTTTGCAGCAGCGCCTCCTGCCTCGGGCGATGCTTGCGACTTTCCGGACCTTGTCGAGCTCCGCGTCGCTCGCTTTGCCTGCGATGCCCGCTTTGTCCGCTTCCGCACCGGCTCTGCCTCTTCCGACTCGCCGGCACTAGCGCCAGCGCTCTCTCCCTCGGCTGCATCCGACTTGCGTCCTCGACTCCGTGCCGACCGCTTCGACGTCGACCGGCTCGACCGGCTCGATCGCCCACGCTTGCGCGACTCTTCAACAGCCTCGGTCTTAGCCTCTGCCTTGGCGCTGCCCTTCTTCACCTTGGCGCTGCCCTTCTTCGCCTTGGCGCTGCCCTTCTTCGCCTTGGCGCTTCCCTTCTTCGCCTTGGCGCTTCCCTTCTTCGCCTTGGCACTATCCTTCTTCCCCGATCCGCGCCGTGTAGTACGGCTGGCGCGCTTGGCCGGTGAGGCTGGCGGGGTTGGCGACGCCGCTCGGACGGCGGCCCGAGTCCGCGCCCGCGTCGACCGGCGGGTGGCGACCATGGCAAAGACGCTGGCCTCCTCCTACGTGAAGCAGAGCTGGATCGTGCGCAGCGAGAGTCAGCAATTCAGTAGCTACCAACCACCGGTTGCAAGCCCCCGAGCTGTGTCTAGTCAAGTACCAGCACGCTGCTTGCCCTTCTTCTCCGCACCCGCCTCGCCTCGCTGCGCCGCTCCAGGCGCCAACTTGCCAGCCGGTTCGGTTTCAAGTGACCGCAAATTTTCAAGACTTTTACGACCTTTTCCCGCCGCGCGGTCGAAAACGGCTGCTGATCAGCGACAACGCCGTTGGGCGGTGCGAAGGTTCCGGACGACGACCGATGCAGACGAGGCATAGACAAGACGAACCATCTCACTCGTTCCTCTCATAGAGATCGTCTGTTGTCCCCGTACACCATCTCCAAGGTCGCTCCATTCCCATCCCCATTCACACCCTTCCAACCATGTCCAAGTGGCTCTCCAAGTCGGAGCTGGACAAGCTCGGCGCGGCGGCCGAGACCGCCGGTCAGGGCGAGGCCGAGGAAACGTTTGCGGTGAGCTTTGACGTTGCCTCGGCAAGCGCCAACTCGCTTGCCCGTGATCTTACCGACGCAGGATCGGTCCTCTCTGCGCTGACCAACGATTGGACCAAGCGCGTCCTTGCCCTCCAGTTTGTGGCTGCCGTCGCCCGTGCACCGGGCATCTTTGACGCACAACACCTCCACGCGCTCGAGGCCATCACCTCCGTCCGCAAGGCCGTGGCCGATCAATGCAAGGATCTCCGGTCCAAGGTGCCCAAGGAGGCCACGGCTGCCATTCTCGCCATGGTCCGCGGCATGATGGCTGCAGACTCGTTGACCATCTCCACCGCTATTGCCACCACCGACTTCTTTGTTCCCCATCTTGTCGCCATGCACACCGCCTCCAAGACTGCCCTCCGCCTCCCGGGCACCGAGACGCTTGCTGAGCTTGTTGCCACCGGCACCGTTGGCTCATCGCTCGCCCACATTGCAGAGAACGTGAGCCACAAGTCGACCAACGTCCGCCTCGCCTGCACCACCTCGATCGCCGGCATGGCCGCGGCAGCCAAGGCATCCACCGGCATTGCCGCCGACTCGCTCGCCTCGAGCCAAGCTGTTGTTGAGACTGCCATCAAGACTGCACTCGGCGATGCCGCACCCGACGTCCGCACCGCCGCAAAGGCCGCCGCCCTCGCATACATCGACGCCTTGCCGGCCGCCAAAGAATCGTTCATGGCGAGCCTCGACCCGACGTCGCGCAAGCGGCTCGAAAAGGCGCTTGGCGGCGGGAGCTCGCAACCGCCGTCGCGTCGCGGACATCGCGGGCCGCCACGCCAGCGCCCGCGCCCCGGTGCCGCCGCGCTCAAGCGCAAGCGCCCGCTGCGCCGCCCAGTCAAGTCCGCCGCTAAGGAGATCGAGATTGAGATCTTTGTTGCGCCGCCGCCGCCCAAGACTGCACCCGCGCCATCGGAGGCCTCAGTCGACTCGGTCGAGTCAGCAGTCGACGCGCCGGCACCCAAGAAGCGCAAGTCGCTCGGCGCCCCGCGCCGCCAGCTTGCGCCTGCCACCGGCTCGCCGACGCCGCAGCCTGCCACTGAGCCGCAGCCGATGGAACTCTCATCGCCGCAGGTGGCAGCCAAGGCGCGGCGCGCCCGCCGCTCCCTTGGTGCCCCGCGCCGAGTCTCTGGCGCCGCCGACATGGTCCTCGCCTCGCCGCCGCAAGCCTCGCCGGCCGCAGCCGGCGCTCCGAAGGAGACGTCGGCACGCCCACAGCGCGAGGCGTTCAAGCCGAGCCAAGGTCCATCGCGGCGTATGTCGCTGCTCACTGGTGGCGCCCGGCGCGCTCCGGTCCGCCGCAAGCCCAGCGGCGGCGAGGCTCCGCGCCGATCGCGGGCCTCGCTCTCGGGCGGCGGCATGTCGGCCGCCCGGCGGATCCGCCGCCGCCCGGCGCCGGCCACACCGGCTGCCGCTGCTGCCGCTGTCACTGCCCTCGCCGCCGTCTCCGAGGCTGCCAAGGAGAACGCAAGCCCGGAGCGGGTCCTTTCCTCGACCAATGTGCTCGTGGAGAGGTCATCTTCGGCGGTGAAGAAGCCGCTGGCGCCTGTGGAGCCGGCGCAAGCGCCCGCCCCGCAACCGGCTGCGCCCAAGACACCCAAGACGCCCAAGGCCAAGCGGCGGCCGTTTACCGTTCTCAACTCGCCGTCGCTCGACTCGCGGGCTTTCAATCTGCTTCGGACGCTGGCGTCGGCAACGCGCGACACCTGCGCGTCGGTCCTCGACAGCATTGCGGCAGCGGCGACGCCGGTCAAGTACGCGCCGGTCACGCCCGGGCCGGCAGCACACGCCCGGCCGCACGACTCATGAGACCAGCCGGCCTCCCCTCCATCCTAAATGTATCTTGCGCTCGACGAGGAGCCAAAGAAAGAAATCCACGCTTGAACAACTAGACATCGCCGCAGTCCGAGTCCTCGGCAGCGTCAAGGACACAGTCGAGAGACGCCTTGGCGAGCTCGTACAGCTCCCACCCGACGGCCATGCCGATGGCGACCCGGGCGGTGCCCCAGCCAACGCGGAAGCGGTCGAGCATGAAGCGGAGCGGGGTCGGCGACGCCGCCATCTCACGGGCGAGGGATGTGAGGACGGCGGCAATGGTGGGCGAGCGGCGGTCAAAGCGGGCGGCGTACTTCATGTTGCGTACAAAGTTGAGCGGCGCCGAGGCCAATGTCGCCGTCGCCGCCGCCACCATGGAACTCACAAACGAGGTCGCCGAGCCAGCGCCGAGTGGGCGGAGAAGATCGTCGACGGGCGCGGAAAGAACGAGTCGGAGCGAGGCAAAGATGCCGCCGAACATGATGTCGCGGAGGACGGTGGTGCCAAGGCCGCGGAAGAGCGGGCGGAGCGAGCCGCCGCGGGCACGGACCATCGCCCGCGCAGTGCGGAAAAAGTTGTCCGGATTCTCCTTGCCCCAGTTGTGGTATTTGACGACAGAGATCGAGTTGAGAATGGCGCCGTTGCCCGCGCCAGCCAGATTGGCGGCGGCAAATATCTCCAGCGGCATCGCCTGCGACGTCACCGTCCGCCGCACCTCGCGCGACTGGGTGGCCAGGTCCAGCTCTAGCCGCCGTGCCACCAGCTGTGCCAAGATCCAGTCGTTGAGAATGAACCACGACGAGCCCGAGAGCGTCCGCTGGACCACCGCAGAGGTAAAGCCCTGGAACGGCTGCAGCCAGTTGCCGCGATGGATAAACGGCGTCCGGTCCTTGACCGACAGGTACAGCGCACGGTCCCACGGATTGAACAGCCCTGCAACCGTCACGCCCGAGGCCAGGCCGGCCAGCAGCGGCACGGTCCACACCCTGTTCGCCGCCAGCCACCGCGCCGTGGGCTCCATCGACGCCGGAACCATCACAATCTCAGGCTCGGCCACTTGCCCAATCCACACCCTCCTCCTCCTTCCATCGGTGTGCCCCTCATCACCGGCCCATGACCGGGCTCCATTACGTGGGCTGCACGCCGGCAAAGCCCAATATCGTCCCGCGCAGCTGCTCTCATTCTCCATCTCGTTGCTGTCGCGATGAGTGCTGTCGCGCCGACGCAGGCGGCTACGCCGACTCAGGCCAACATGGCAACCTAACAATTGCAGGTCGTCTTGGCCTCCGCCACAACCACAACCATAGCCGCAACCAAAATCAAAGCCACCATCACAGCTACCATCATCACGACGTGGTGCGAGTTGATGACCGCGCGGCAGCAGAGAGTACGCGGTACGAAACATAGCTCACAGGCTCTCTCGCTCCCAACCCTCTGTCTCCAGCTCTGTTCCTGTCTCCAGCTCTGTCCCTGTCCCCAGCTCTGTCCGTCTTCCCTGTCCCCTGCCTCCGACTCGGCTCGGTCTCCCGACTCGGCTCGGTCTCCCGACTCGGCTCGGTCTCCCGACTCAGCTCCTTGCCTGCCTTGGAGTGGGAAGGGTGACGGAAGAGATACAGCAGCTGATTGCCTTGCTCTTGCTCTTGCTCTTCTTGCCTCGTCCTTGTACCTGTGGCTGTGCTCGTGCTCTTGGCTGCTGTCCTGTCCAGCCTCTCCTCCACTTTCTCCTCCAGTGCTCGCTTGGCCCACGTGGCGGTTCGCGTCACGCGAACCGGAGTTGAGTCCGTTGACGAGTCACAGAGGCCGGGCCAGCAGAGCCACAGGCCACATGACACAGGCCTCTCACTCTACCATCACCCTGGTCTTAACAACACCCATCAGTTTATCTCTCATCACCAGCATGATGGCACCCGCACCCGCATCAGCATCAGCATCAGCATCAGCATCAGCATCAGCATCAGCATCAGCATCAGCATCAGCCAACGTCAGCGCGGCGTCTCGAGCATGCCCGAGTACGCCTTACTGCCCGGGGCAGGGTCGTTAAACTTGAAGACTTCGGCCTGGACGCCGCCGAGCGGCGTGTCAGCCACCCCGTCGAGCGGGTTGGATGCCGACGAAGTGGCTGCCTCGGCGAGCGTTTGCATCGACGGCGAGAACGCCATGTTTGGATCCTTGGGCGTGAGGCCGGTCGACGGGAGCTTGCCGGCAAAAGGCATGGGCGGCGCGACGGCGATAGCGGGAACGTTGACCGAGAGGTTCTTGCGCCGCTTGGCTGCTGGCAGCTTCGAGCCACCCTCCAGCGGGCGAGTCGAGCCGACCGGATGCCCCAGGGCTGGCTGGGAAGGTGCCGAAGACACAATGCCCTGCTGAGTTCCGTCAAACGGCATGTGCCGTTGTATAATGCTTGTCAGGAACGTGACTTGGTTGTGAAGCATGTGCAGCGTTTGCGACATCGACCGCTGGTTACTGTGGATTCGGATGTGTGACTGCTCGATCCGATGCACCCGCTCCGGCAGCGGCTGGGTTGGGTCGATGAGGACCTGGTCGGTTCCCGGCGAGCCCGAGAACGGAGAGTAGTTGGCCGACGCCCCACCTGGCGACGAGCCTGGCGACGGCGAGGCCAAGGAGCTTGCCACTCCGCTGTTGCCTCCCTTGCCACCCTTGCCGCCCTTCCCACGCCCGGTCCTGGCCACCGACCGCGCCGCCACCGCCGTCTTGGCCACCGACGCCGGCGCTGAACCCGTTCTGGACGCCGATGTCGATGCTGACCGCGACCGCGTCGAGTTCCGCGACGTCTTTTGCAGCACCGGATTGGTGCTGATGCCTTTGGCAGCCAGCTCGGCCTGGGTCTTCTTCACCGACTTGCGCTCGATGCGAGCGAGCGACTCCTCGTCGTTCTCCCGAAAGAACTCATGGGCAAACTCCCAATGATTAGGATCGCCCAGTTTGCGGAAGCCATACATGTTGAGCTGTCTGATAAACGAGGAAAAGTTGTTGTGCTTAAAGTACTTTCCCAGCACTTCCTCCTGCAACGCATCCGTATCCTCCACCAAGAACGCCATGCCGTCCTTGCACCAATGGATGATCTGTCTCAACTACCTGTGTAAGTCCGTCTTCTGCACCCACTACACCTCCACACGTGTACATACCCTCTCCACACATCCATTGCACTCCAGTTCCCCCTTGCCCATCTCTGTCACCCATCCCTTTCCACAATGCGTGGGGCGAGGGGGGGGGGGGGGTTGAGGCAGGCGGACAGGACGAGTCAAAAATCGATCATTGGCACACCCGACAACCATATAGGCATGGCCAAGGGGGGGGAGGGCAGGGAGGGCAAGGTGTCTGGCCAGGTACAGTCACTGAGAGTGGCCATACTGAAGGGGGGGGGTTGGGGGAAGGGCAGATATATGGCTCACTTGTAGTGGGCTTGTCTTGACTGCGTACATGGTCCCACTCCTTCTCCTGCACCATAGCAAAGGTCTTGGTCAGGAAGCCCGCAATGCGTCCCGACATGCTCTGCTTCCTCACAGAGGGAGGAGTGGGAAGTGTGGAAGTGGCCGAGGGAGAAATGAGTCGGCATCACGCTTCCAGAGAGTAACCATAAATACATGCGAATGAACGGGGTTTTTCAATCCGTTACCGTATGGAATGGACAAATTTGTCCATCGGGCGCAAGCCGCGCTCCGGCGACGCTCCACAGACATCGCAACGTCCATCAATTGCGGTGTAAGAGTAGTAGTACAATGTGTTAATGGCTGCTGTGGCCACTAGTGGGCCACAACAGAAAACAGTCGGCGATGCAGAGATGGACGCTGCGCGCGGCGCAAAGGGGCCGCCTTTGCGGCCGCGATCGCTTACCATGAAGCCTCCGGGCAGGCGAGGCAGTCGCGTCGCAGAGCGGCTCGCTGGGGAATAGTGGTGATGACGAGCAGCTGCTGCAGAGGGTCGCTCCTGCTTGCGCGACAGTGCAGAGCTGACGGCATCGGCGCTGGCGGCGAGGGCGTCGATGATGTCGTAGATAAAAGCCACGCGAGTCGTGGCGGGGCGTGGGCTCGTGTCAGCGGAGAGCACGTAAGCAGCGTCCAGAATCCAGTACACGATGGCGTGCCACCACTTGCGCGGCCACGCCGACCGGCAAGCTCGTCCGTCACAAGAATATCCACAACATCCTCGCGCTCTCCCGTCCGGCCGATGTGTTCAACTCTGGCATGTTCTCCTTCCCGGTCGTCGGGGGTGCTCTGGATCGCTGGAGCTCGTGGAGGCTGGTCTGGTTCATCCGGCGAGGCCGATGCCACTCGCTCTGGCTGGTGCTTGGTCCGGGGACGACGGATCAGCGTCAAGTGGAGATGACTGGCCAGTACGTGTTGCTTCAGCTGGCTACGGTCCGGCCTTTCTGCGTCCGAGCTTGCGCGACTCGACCTGGTGGGCGCTCCCATGGACGAGTCACTGACGACTCAGTGTGCTCACCGGTGACACTCACTCGCAATCAAGACCAAGGCCAAGCCACAACCACAACCACACAACTCGTCTCCTCCTCCCTCTCCTTCCTTCCACCACAAGAGGGGCGGGAATGGAGCTTTCCAGGCTCGACACGCTGCTTGCTGAGCGGTCGCGCAAGCTGGCCGAGGCAGAGTCAGAGCTGAAGAGAAAGACGGCGCCCGAGGCTGCGCCGCCGCTACCGACGCTAGAGAGCATCCAGCCGCACTCTGCTCAGTCGCAGATCGAGCGCATCGAGGCGCGGGCAAAGGAGATGGACTCGATCGTCAACTCAGTGACTGCAGTGGTTGCCTCGTATGAGGCACTTGATCGCGACTTGCTTCCATCCACCACAGGCGACTTTGCGCAGGTTGGCGAGGCGGTGGCGTTTGCCACGCCGACCGATCTCGAGGGTCTTGTGGCCCACTCCAAGGCCCGCGTCAAGTCGCTCTTCATGGCCTACCACAAACTATCAGCCGAGCAAACCAACACACTGGCCTCGCTCTCCACCTGGTTCTCCATCCGCGGCAAGGACGACGTCGACGATTTGGCCGAGGCCGAGGCCCTGGTCGCCACCACGGGCGCCGAGTTGGACTCGCGCCCGACGAGCGGCGTCGATGTGCTCGACGAGTCGGCTTCGTCTCTGCTTGACGCCCGCGGCGCCAAGGACAAGCTCTCTGCCCTGCACTCGGACATTCTCGAGGTCTGTGTCGACATCCTCAAGGCCCGCCAGGCCGAGACCGCTGACATGGTCCCGCGCTCGGCGCTTGACGACACGCTCAACGCTCTTCGCATGGCCACCCGCTCTGCCAACAAGCTCAAGGCCGACTACGAGAGCGCGCAGGCCGAGCTAGCCGCCGCCCGTACCGACGCTGTCGTCTCGCGCGAGGCCGCCGAAGCCGCCAAGGCCTCGCTCGCACTGATGTCGCGCGATACCGACGTCGACCAGCTCCACTCGCGCCTCAAGGCTGCCCACCGCAAGATCGAGTCGCTCTCTGCCGAGAACGACCGCCTCTCATCGCAGCTCGAGGCGCTCGACGTCCTCCCGCAGGGCCCGGGCCTCCGCCGCGCCAACTCGTCCAAGTCCTCGCGCGCCTCGCTCCGGCCAGGCTCGGGCCGCGGCCGCCGGGGCAAGACCCGCGGGCTTGTCCGCTCGGGCTCGCGCTCGCTCCGCCGCTCACCCTCGTCCGATGATTCCGCCGATACCACCGCCGCTAGCAAAGACGTGGCCGCCATCAAGCAGCAGCTCAACTCGGTCGCCCGCGACGCACGCCACACTAAGCTCCAGCTCGAGGCCAAAGTTCGCACCCTCCGCGCAGACCTCTCCGCCAAGGAGAAGATGTCGTCGCGCGCCCGCTCTCAGCTCCAGACCGAGCTCGAGACCATGCGCGAGAAGATGATTGCCAAGCTCAAGTCCAAGCACGACAAAGAGGTCCAGAAGCTCACCATCGACGCCGACCGCAAGGTCCGCGCCGCCCTCAAAGAGTCACAGCTCGCTCTCGAGAAACAGGCCGCCTCGCTCCGCAAGGCTTTTACCACAAAGGACAACGCCAAACTGCTCGCCGCTCTCAAGTCCGACTTTGACACCCGGTTTAACGCCATGCGGCGCGGGCTCGAGAAGCAGCTCCGCGAGGAGCGCCTCGAACACCGCCAGATCGTCCGCACCCTCAAGTTTGACTTCCGCAAGCGCCTCGAGACCGTCGAGTTTGTCCATGAGGCTCAGTCCCGCGCCCTCAAGATCGACTACCGTGAAGAGTACGCCCGCCGCTTTGAGGCCCTCCATGCCAACATGGAGCGTCGTATCCACCACGAGACCGCCGCCGCGCTCGCCGCCATGGAAGACCAGGCCGCCTCTCACGCTCAGGAGCTCGACATTCTTCGCTTCCGGCTCGCCACCCTTGCTGCAGAAAAGGAAGAGAAGGACAAGGCCGCTGCAAGCTCGTCCGCAGACCTCGCCGAGGCGATCCAAGTCCTCCAGCGCTCGCCGTCGACTGTCGACGACGCCTCGTTCCGCGGCATCATCACCGATCTCCGCTCCCAGCTCAAGGCTGAGATCGACAAGCGCACCGTGCTCACCGCCAAGCACGCCCGCGAGCTTCGCGACCTTCGTCTCAAGTACGAGTCGGACGTCGCGTCCATGTCGCTCACCCGTGACGTCGAGCGCCGCGGTATCGACTATGGCCTTTCGTCCGAAGAAGCTCAGGTCTACTACGTCGACATGATCACCGCACGCCTCCGTGAGCTCGACGCCCTCGGCTGGTCGCTCGAGAAGGAGGTCCTCACCCGCGAGCTTGAGCGGGCGCGCAACCGCGTCGCCGCCGGCGAAATCGACCGCGATGCAACTGACCTTGCCCACCACGCCTCGGAGACCAAGCTGAACGAGCTCCGCAATGCGCAAGCCTCTGAACTCGACGCCCTCACCGCCCAGCTCGATGCCCTCACCGAGGACGACGAGGCAACACAGGTCGAAAACAAGCTCGCCATCTATGCCGAGCTTGAGCAGGTCAAGGCCCGCCATGCTCAGGAAATCGAAGCTCTGCAGGCACAGCTTGCCGCAAACTCAAACGCCGCGGACCCGTCGCCGGCAAACTCGGAGTCGGGCGACGATGCATCGGCCGAGCAGAGCGGCAACGCTGGTCCTGGTCAAGGACAGCCGGCCGTGCCGACCATCTTGCTCGACGACTCGACCGTGCTCGAGCCGAACGCGCTGGCGTCGATCCTCGGGCCTGGGCGCGAGCTCATCAACTACGACGATGTCCGTGCCAACGATGCTGACGACGCCGGCGTCACATCCGATGCACCCGCTACAAATCGCTCGAGTGAGGCTAGCGAGAGCCACGGTCTCCGCGCGCCTTCGGACCTGGATCTCCCCCTCGTTTCGCCAGCCATGACTCGCATTGTCTCGCAATCGGAGCTCAAGCCTTCCGGCGCTGGAATGGAGTCGCCCGCAGCAACTGCCCGGCGCGAGGCCATGCTCAAGGCCGAGGCCGAGCGGCGCGCCACTGTGATCAAGGACCAGGTTGAGGCGATGAAGCGCGAGCTCCAGCGGCACGCCTCGGTTCAGGAAGCGCAGGTTCACAACAAGATTGTGCTCCTCCGCGAGGACTATCGCGCGCGCTGCACCGCGCTCGGCAACGCCATCAAGGATGCCGACAAGTTCGATCCCAGTCGCGCCGAGGAGCTGCGCCGGCAGATGAAGGCCCTGACCTTGGCCCACAAGCGGAACATCAACATGCTCCGCGCCTCGGTCAACGAGCTCGACGCCATCCACGCAGCCCGACTCGCCGAGTATCACGACTCGCTCATGGCCAAGGAGAAGATCTACCAGACAAACCTTCGACTGCAGGAGCAGCTGCTCTCGTCGACCATGGAGGAGAAGGAGCACCTGCTCTCGGTCCTCGACGAGTTCCGCAATGCCAACGCGCTCGAAGTCCACCGAACTGCACTCGGCGCTGCACTCGAGGCGTCGCACGCCGCCGACATGTCGGCGGCCGCGCTCCTCGCCGACGACGGCCTCATGTCGACGGCCTCGGTTCAGGCTGTGCTCTCCGACCTGGACACCTCGGCCGCGACTTGTCTCGATCTCCGCGGCAAGGCGCTTCCGCTGTGGGCGCGCCTCCGCGCCCTGGTCGACTCTGTGGTCACCGCGTCGAGCGTCTCGCTCTCGGACACTGCCGCCGAGCTCGAGCGTGCCGAAGACGAGCGATCCGACGCAATGCGCAAGGCTGTCGAGCTCGACACCGAGTTGGCCACCGTTCGCCGCCGGGTGCACGCCCTCGAGGACGACATGGTCCACCAGCGCCAGCTGTGGAACAAGCAGCTCGAGTTGTGGCAGGCCTCGGTTCAGGAGAAGCAGAACTCTATGTCGCACACGTACCAGGCTCTAGAGCAGGCCAAGGACCTGGAGATATCGGCGCTCAAGACCGAGCTTGCCTACTATGTGGCTGAGCGCGCCGAGCTGGAGGCGGTCGCTCTTGAGGCTGGAGTCCGCTCCACCTCGCGCTCTCGCTCGGAGTCGCAGTCCCCAGCTGCTGCTCTCCCCGACGACCACGCTGTCGCAGACTCGACGACACGCTCGCCGACCGAGACAGGCCCGTCGCAGAGCGAACCCCCCATTGCGTTTTCGGACACTGCGCCGACGACGTCAGGTGAGAGCAAAGTTTCGCAGCCGCAGAATCTTGCTCCTCCGGCCCACTCGCTCGCCCACCATCGGACGCCCGAAGAGCGCGAGCGCGACTCACAGGCTCTCGCCGACATTGCGGCCCAAGTCGAAGCCGCCAAGGCGCAAGTCGACGCGGCGTCGTCCGAGCTGGAGGCGGCGACGGCGCTGCCGTCGTCGTTCACGCCGCAGCCAGTCAATGACGAGAGCAGCGAACCGGAGCCGAGCCGGTCGGTGCTACAAGCGCCCCTCCCGCTCCAGGCGCGTGTGCCACAAGTCGACGCGGGCGTACAGACCGATCCGATGGATCCGGCGCAGCTGGCGTCGGCCATGTCGCACGAGCTGGCAGCCGAGCTCGCAGAAATCGACGACGGGCTGGACGAGGTCAGGTCACAGAGCTCGTCGGCGGCGGGTGCCGCAACCCGCATCGGGCTTCTGGAAGACCAAGTGCGGTCGTTCTCACTGCGGCTGCGGTCAGTTATCGTGGAGAGCGACAAGGCGCGGAGCGTGCATGCGCGTGAGCTGCGCAATCTTCACAGTGAGCTGGAGAAGGAACGCAGCAAGTATCTAGTGCGGCTCCGCGAGGTGGAGGGCAAGCATGGAGACGAAGTGCGGCGGCTACGCAAGCGCGGTGACGAGCTGCGCAAGGCAGCCGACGAGGAGCTGAACCTTGTGCGGGTCGAGGCAAGCCACAAGCTCGAGGCCGCGCGCGATGTGTACGAGCGACGCATCAAGCAGCTGCTGGGAGTGATTGCCGCCAAGAGCAACGCAAATGAGCACACGCTCGACTCGGTCAAGCAGACGACGGCTACTGAGATCAGCGAGCTCCGGGCCGCGGTTGAGTCTGCACAAATGTCGACGGAGCAGCGACTGGTGTTTGAGCAGCGGCGGTTTGAGCAAGAGCTCCAGGCCCTGGGCTCGCAGTTCCGCGCCGAAGCGCTCAAGGTGCATGCAGCAGTGTGCCATGTGGCGTCAGATGTGGCAGACGGCCTGATGCGGATCGACGGTGCGAGCGGCCTCGCGCTGCACGAGACGGTGGCGGCAGCGAACGAGACGGCGCTGGCCAAGACCGAGGTTGACGACACGCCCGTGCTTCTCAGCGCCGATGTTGCGGTCCTCACGGCGCTCTGCGACGCGGTGCTGCGGGTGGTGTCCGAAAAGGCGCACAGCGCGCGAGTCGACATTGCGGCGCACAAGGCCAAGACTCCGTGGCAGAGCCAGCCAGCTCCGAGCGCGGCCGCGAGCTCGACCCACGAGGAAGAGCTCGAGGCGCGGGTGGCTGAGCTGGAGCTGGCGCTCAAGGCGCAGGCCGTGCAGCTGGCGCGGGCCAAGGCGCGCGCAAATGATGCGTCGGTCGAGGCGTCGGACGCCGAGCTGAGCAAGTATGAGGCGTCGACGCCGCGCGAGTCGCCGCACGAGCTTATCGGGCACCTGCGGATGGAAGTGCGGGCGACACGGACGGCGCTGGCGCGCAAGGCGGTGGCGGTCCGTGAGCGCGAGTCGGTCATTGACATGCAGGCGGACCATATTGACGCGCTGCAGACGACAATTGAGCGGCTGCGGTCGCGGCTGGCGTTCTTCCAGCGGCACCCAAACGAGTTTCTGCAGATTACGGCTGCGCCTGGTGGCGCGTCGCGCCCAAGCACTTCGGGCTCGGGCGGAAGCTCGAGAGGCTCCTTCGTCCGCCCACGGCCGCCGGCCTTTCCGCCACCGGGCGGCATCGCACGGCCAAACCCGCTGCGGCGGGTGGCATCGGCCGTCGTGATGTCGCGGAGGGTGGCGAGCGCAAGTCGCGAGATGGACGCCTCGGAAGCAGAGGCTGCTGGCCCAGTTGCGGTCGCGCTGCAGCTGCAGCGCGGCAGGATAGGCAGCGCGGCGCGAGCACCGCTGCCACCGGTGGGACAGACAGACGCAGTGGGGCGGCGGAGACTGTCGTCGCCGTTCCTCGCCGACGAACCAGCGGCGCTGCGGCGGCTCATGGCCGACGTGTCCAAGTCGAGTCTCGCCGAAGTGCCGTCCCCGGGCGGAGTGCCGGGCGGGTCGGGTGGTCCGGTCTCACCTGGGCGACGCGAGCGAGCGCCTGTGGACGTGGACGAGCTCAAGGCGGCGCTGCACTCGACGCAGGAGCAGCTGGCAGATGCGCTGGCAGCGCTTCACAGTCAACCAGCGCCGGGAGGCGGTATCGGGGGCGATCAGGCCAGTGAAACGGTGGCGTACTCCAAGGCGCTCATCGCAACGTCGAAGCGGCTTCGCGAAGAAAAGATTGCGGCGTCGCTGGAGGAGATGTCTGCCAAGTCTGCGGCGTCAGTGCTGGAGCAAAAGGTCCGGCAGCGGGCGGCGCAGCTGAGCGAGGCCAAGCTGAGTGCCGCCAACGACGCGGCGACGCTCGCACTCATCCGGATGCACAAGCGGGCGGTCGAGCAGGCGCGGCAGTTTGAAGTCAAGAAGGCGCAGATTCTCGCTGACCAACGACGCAATCTGGAAAAGGTGCTGGTAACGTTCGGCGAGTGGATCGCCACGTCGCCGTCTCGAACGGTCCCGGACACCGGGCTCTTCCTCGAGGGCCACAGCCTCGAGCCGAGGCGGATGCGGGCCGGAACACTGGCTGCTGCCGCCCCGGCCGCCACCGCCCCGGCCGCCCTTGCCGCAGCCGCAGCCGCAGCCGACCAATCTACCCAGCCGCATGCACCTCAAACCTGGCTCCCATGGTTTACCACCGATGCCGATGCTGATGCCGATGCCGACGCCATTGCCGTCGCCGCCATGTCATGACCATCAAGTGCTGAAAGAGTTGCAGATTAAAAGGAAACAGCAGATTGGGGAGAATAAGGTGAGGGGCGGGAGATTGAGTGAGGGGCGGGGAGGGGGGGGGGGGGTGGAGGGGCGACTCGGCCGGATGGTGGTGAGACGGCCAAGTGACGAGTGACGAGTGGCGAGCCGGGACGACTGGCAGGACGACACCCAACTTGGCTTGTGGGCAGAGCCATGTCAACGCAAGAGCTGTTCGGGGCCATCTCGTCAGACGACGAAGGTGGAGAGGTTGGAGAGACGACCACGAGTGCCACCACTGGTACCAATGCCACTGTCGATGACGATGAAGTCTCTGGTGGTGACAACCACAACGACGACGAGGACGACGACTTGGCCGACCACGACGACGACGACTTGGCCGACTACGAAGACGACGAAGACGAGGAGGAAGCCAGTCGGGTAAGTTTCCCCCTCCACGAGAAGGTGTAGTGAGAGAGAGTGTGTGTGTGTGTGTGTGTGCGAGAGAGAGAGAGAGAGAGTAAGGGAGGGTATCCCTTGCCCATACCCCCCCCCCCCCCCCCCCCCCCCCCCCCCGCCCCCCTTCGTCTCTGGGGTCATGGACTCTCCAAAAATTGGATCCTGGTCGGGGTGGGAGGCAGGGTGGGAGTGGGGTGAGGGGTGGGGTTGGGAAGGTGTAGGGGAGAATGAGGGTGGTATGGGGGTTGAGGAAGGTATGTGGTGGACTCATGTGGTGCTTGGTATGGATACGGCTACTTGGTCGCCCTGGCGGGGTGCTGGCGGGGTACTGGCGGGTGTGGCGGCGGTGGGCGGACGGGGCGGGGCGGCTGGACGGGCTGGTGGGTGGCGGTGGGCGAGGATAGAGTCGGAAGCGACGGAAGGGGCCGGGCGGACAGCGGCGGATGGATGCGATGTCCAACTTTATTGATGACATTGCCGTGGATGACGACGGCGATGACGAGGAGGACGACGAGGAGGACGACGGGTCTGACGCTGGAGACGTGCTCGACGACGAGACGCTGATTGAGGACGATGGCGCGCAGGCGCGGCGGCTTGATCTGGAGCGCGAGACGGCCGAGGCTGCTGCTATCCGGGAGAAGACGCAGCGTTTTGAGGAGATGGGCGCCGAGTACGAGAACGCTGGGCGGCCGGGGATTGTGATGGAGGACGTGAGCGAGCTGGACCGGCAGTCGCTGCTCCCGACGCATGCAGACCCGAAGCTGTGGATGGTCAAGTGCAAGACCGGGATGGAGCGAAAGCTTGTGCTTGCGCTGATGTACAAGTTTGCGGACAAGCAGAGCCGCGGAAAGCGGATGGGGATCACGTCTGTGATTTGCCGCGACAACCTGCGCGGGTACTTTTTCGTGGAGGCGCGGCGAGAGGACACGGTCAAGGCTGCGATTTCCGGGCTCCGCGGGGTGCGGCAGTCGTCTGTGACGATTCTTCCGCTGAAGGAGATGGTAGACACGCTCGAGGTGACGGCGCAGGACGTGACGCTGCGGAAGGATGCATGGGTGCGGATGAAGCGCGGACAGTACCGCGGCGACCTTGCACGCATTGTGCGGCTGGACGACTCGGGCTCGCGGGCGGTGGTCAAGCTCATTCCGCGGCTGGATCTGGACAAGCACTCGCGGGCGTCGCTGCCGCGGACCGACGACTCGTCGAAGAAGCGCAAGCGGCCGGCGCGGCCAGCGGCCAAGTTCTTCTCGCCGGAGGAGGTGCAGGACAAGGTCGGCCACTTGGCGATCAAGACGGTGGTGACGGTGAGTGGCGAGAAGGGGTACATGTTTGGCGGCAACGAGTTTGTGGACGGGTACCTGGTCAAGTCTGTGCCAATCAACTCGCTCAACTCGACGAACGTGGTGCCGACGCTGGAAGAGTTCCAGAAGTTCCAGAACATGGGGACGGGCAAGTCGACGGACGCGATTGCAGACGCGCTGGCGGCGACGCTTCCGGGCGGCGGGCAGATGATGGGCATGGAGGGCTTTGCCAGTGCGCAGCGGGTTGACTTTCAAAAGGGCGACATGGTGCAGGTGGTGGCCGGCGAGCTGACGTCGCTCAAGGGCTCTGTGCTTGCGGTGGACGGCGAGTCTGTCACCTTTGTGCCGAACCACATCGACTTTTCCGAGCCGCTCACCATCGCGCGGGCCAACTGCGCCAAGTACTTTAATGTGGGCGACCACGTGCGGGTGACGCGCGGGCTTCGCGAGGGCGAGACGGGCCACATTGTGGCGGTCGACTCGCAATACGCGCATGTGTTTTCTGACCTCAACCACTCGGAGTTCAAGGTCTTTGTCCGCGACGTGCGGCTGGCATCTGCGATGGTGACCACCATCGATACGCTCGGCGAGTATGAGGTCTACGACCTTGTTGAGCTCGACGCAACCTCTGTGGGCGTCGTCATCCAAATCGAGGGCTCGAGCCTGCGTGTGCTCAACCAAAACGGAGTGGTCTCGACGGTCCGCCCGACCGAGGTCGGCAAGAAGTGGACGCGGCGGTCGATCACGCTCGACTCGGCAGGCAACAACGTCGGCGTCCGCGACGTCATTCGGGTTCTCGACGGCCCACACAAGGGCAAGCAGGGGACGGTCAAGCACATTTTCCGTGCGCACATCTTTGCGCACTCGGCGTCGGTCATGGAGCACGGCGGAATGTTTGCGGTCCGTGGGCGGAACTGCGTGCTGCTCGGCGGGGCGATGGGCGCTGCCGCCGGTGCGGCGCCGCAGGAGACCGGGCGCTC